AGTGCCACAAGCAGAAGATATGCCATGGAGACATCAAGCTGGAGAACATACTGATTACATCCTGGAATTGGATTTTGCTCTCGGACTTTGCCTCGTTCAAGCCCACATATTTGCCGGAAGATAATCCCGCCGACTATACGTATTTCTTTGATACGAGTCGAAGGAGGACCTGCTATATAGCCCCTGAGCGATTCGTTAAGACTTTGGCCTCGGATGACGATGGCAGCAATGGCAACATGTCGGTGATTCACACGGATTCCATCATTCGTCTGGCCCCCAGTTATGCGGGAAATACTTTGCTGCCGGCCATGGATATATTTTCAGCAGGGTGAGTCTGAACAAAAGATTGTCTTAACAATTAATTAATTTATAAATTTCTTGTTATAGTTGCGCTTTGCTAGAACTCTGGACAGAGGGAACAGCGCCCTTTGAGCTCTCACAGCTGCTGGCCTATCGGCGCGGTGAACGGGACTTGGTAGAGAAGCACTTGGCGGGTATTGAAAACGAGCGTTTGCGCAATCTGCTGGCCTCCATGATCGACATTCACTCGATAAACCGAAAGAGTGCCGAGGATTACTTGGATCAGGAGCGTGGCGAGCTGTTTCCCGAATACTTTTACTCCTTTTTGCAATCTTATTTGCAAATGTTTTCCTCAACGCCGATAATGTCGCCGGATGATAAGATCCAGTGCCTGCACAAGGATATTGGACATTGCATCAAAGTACTAACACAGGTGGAGGATGTCACACCGGAAGAGGATGCTGAAACGGAGAAGAAGGATCCCACAATGTGTGCCTCACGACTGCCACCAGAGCACGATGGCCTCATCCTGATAATCACAGTGGTCACCTCCTGCATACGCGGTCTCAAGCAGTCCAATACCAAGATAGCTGCCTTGGAGCTCCTGCAGAAGCTGTCGAAATATACCACCTCGGAGACTATATTGGATCGGATATTGCCCTATATAGTGAGTGGTTTTTATTATTAATATTGGGAATAGAAAAAATTTAACGCATCTTGCTTTACTAGCTGCATTTGGCTCAGAAATCGCCTGCCAAGGTGCAGGTTCAGGCCATTGAGACTCTGACCGCTTGCCTGGGCATGGTGAAGGACATTCCGCGCAGCGATGCCAACGTTTTTCCCGAATACATTCTGCCCTCCATCACGGATCTGGCCAGCGAGGCGAGTGCGGTAATTGTTAGAGTAGCCTTTGCCCGGAATATAGCGGCGCTGGCCAAGAGCGCTGTCTACTTCCTGGAGGAGACACAGCGGAATGCTCCGAACGAGATGCCAACGCCACGCTACGAGGCGGAACTGAATGCTCTCCATGACATCGTGAGACAGGCGGTGCTCAGCCTGCTGACCGATTCCCAGCCGGTGGTCAAGCAAACCCTGATGGAGTCGGGCATTTGCGATCTGTGCGCTTTCTTTGGTAAGGAAAAGGCCAACGATGTGATCCTCTCGCACATCATGACCTTCCTGAACGACGAGGATAAGAACTTGAGGGGAGCCTTCTATGACAACATTGCTGGCGTTGCTGGCTATGTGGGCTGGCAGGCATCGGATATATTGGTGCCGCTACTGCAGCAGGGATTCACAGATCGCGAGGAGTTCGTCATAGCCAAGGCCATTCGGGCGGTGACCATTCTCATCGAATTGGGTCACATCAAGAAGCCAGCGGTAACGGAGATCGTCCAGGAGACGGCCTGCTACTTGTGCCACCCGAATCTGTGGGTTCGCCACGAAATCTGCGGCATGATCGCCACCACCGCCCGCAATCTCAGCGCCATCGATGTCCAGTGCAAGATAATGCCGGCAATTGGCGCTTTTCTCAAGGTTCCTCTCATTCAGGTGGAAAAGCCACATATCCTGCTGGATTGCGTACAGCCGCCAGTGCCAAGGCAGATCTTTGACAGTGTGCTGCGTTTTCAGGACATCCACCACTTCTTTGGAGCGCTGGAAGATCGGGCAAGGGTTCGCAGTCAGACTAGGCAGGGAGCCCTGCCGCAATACGAGGAAATGGGACAAACCCTCAGGAATGTGAGTGGAGTTGGGAAGACACTTATAAATCACTTTTATAATTTTATGTTTTTCTTTACATTTGCAGTTGTTTAGACGCCTCTCCTCCGAGGGCTTGACGGACCTCATTGAGATGCAACTGCTTGCCATGAATCCTTTCATGATCTCCCTAAAGCACAAGGCTCTGCAGGATCTGGATGATACGGCTTCTGGCAATGGCCGCATCGTGGTCAGTCGCAAGCAAGTCGCTTGCCATGAATATCCGCTGGCGGACAAGGTCACCAAGATGCCAATAGAAAATCGTAAGTCTTGTATTGTTATACCTCAGCTATCCATTTACTTTGATTTTATATCAAAGTTTATTTAACCCCAAACGTTCTTCAGTAATTTATTTATTTATAACATTTTCTTAGATTTTTTTAGTTCTGGTGTTTGGTCGTTTATACGTTGAAGAATAATGCCATTTCCTGTTCCGATTGTTTGAATTGAACTTAGGCATATTTAACTCTGGGTTTTTTTGTTTTACTTGTTTGTTTGTTTATCTGTTAATATTTTCTTTTTGATTTCTTAAATTATAAGGAATCAGCGAGGCTTAGAAATTAGTAGAAATTCAATATATTATGTGATTAACTTGATTAAGAAAACGTTAATTAAACTTATAAAAAGCTTACTATTTTTAAATAAATTATGTGTGAAGCCATTTAAAGAATTTTCTTTTATTTTTTTTTTAACAAAGAATTCAAAAGACTTTTATTTAGAGTAAAAAAAAACCTGCAAAGCTCCCAATTCGAAACCAGTAAATACGTTATTTGAATTACCTAATTTTATTATTTTCTGATTACCAATTCCTTGCAGGATCCAGCGAAGGACCCGCTCTGGTATCGCCTGCATCAGATGCAGCCATCACTCCCCTGGGCGCTGGCGGATTAGCTGGAAGTCCTGCCTCCGGAGCAATAGTCCTGGGTGTGCCCACAGCCAATGTGAGTGCGGCTACTTCGCTGGGCGAGTACACAATGCCGGAGCGTAATTGCTGGCTCGAGCGCTCATCCGAGTGCCGCAAGGATCTAGAGTCGCTGACGGCGAAGATCAAGAGTCGCTATAATGTGCTGGCCATCTCACAACGCTGCAGCTACGATAAGCTGGTTACACCATATCCACCCGGTTGGCGAATGAATGGCACTCTGGTGGCCCATCTTCACGAGCATTCAGAGTCGGTGATCAAGCTGGCCTCGTTGCGTCCTCATGGCTCGCTCTTTGCCAGCGGCAGCATTGACGGAACTGTGCGTTTGTGGGACTGCGGCAAGCTGAATGGGAACCAGGGAGTGAATAAGTCGAGGCAGGTTTACTCAGCGAATACGCCCATCTATGCCCTGGCTGCCTGCGACAGCGGTCAGTCGCTGGCGGTGGGCGGCAAGGATGGCAGCATGCTGATGATGAGGATCGATCGAAACTCTGCCAAGATGACGCTACAGCAGGCGCTGGATCAGAAGTAAGCTTGAAGGCAGTCCTCCATACAATTCTTTAATGCTCCTCTCCTCGTAGCGATCACAATGACGGACCTGTGGTGGATATGCATGCCTACGATCAGGCCACGCAAAGCGTCATTGTTTATGCCACGTTGTACGGCGGAATCGTGGCCTGGGACACACGCATGCAGCACAGTGCCTGGCGGCTGCAGAACGAGCTGCGGCACGGAGTTATCACCACCATCTGTGCGGATCCCACGGGCTCGTGGCTAGCCACTGGCACAAGCGGGGGAAAGCACATCTGCTGGGATCTGCGTTTCCGATTGCCCATCGCCGAGATCAAACATCCCGCCGACTCGTGGATCCGCAAGGTGGCCTGCCATCCCACAGAGCCATCGTATCTCATTTCGGCCTCGCAATCCAACAACGAGGTGTCCGTGTGGAATATTGAGACGGGTCAGCGGCAGACAGTTTTGTGGGCTAGTCCGGCAGCCGCTCTGTCCAGCGCCAGTCCCAGTGATCCGGCCACCACGTGTGGCATCCTAAGTGGCGTCGTGGATGGTTCACCCTTCATTCTAACCGGAAGCTCGGACCAGCGTATCCGGTACTGGGACATAGCCAATCCAAAGAACTCTTCGCTAAAAGTGCCAGCGGCTAATGATAACCTGGCGGATGTGGCCTTTAATTACAGGTAAAAAACTAGGCATTTTTTGGAGTAATATTTGTAAATTTATGAAATATTTGTACTTTTAAGCGCCCGCTTGATTGATGGCAGCCAGGTGATTGAGGAGCAAATCATTTCCATGAGCAACACAGCCGATTCACAGCAACTAAGAGCCTCCACGGAGGAGAACCCACGCTCAGGACCGGACATGCCCACGGCCAGCCACCACGATGCCATCACGGATTTGCTGATGTGCAAGGACAAGGGACAGATCTACATAGCATCGGCATCGCGCGACGGTGTCATCAAGCTGTGGAAGTGAGCGACCCGCTATTACTTATAGTATTTAATTATTCAACTGTGATTAGCCTAAATAAACTGCAATATGTGTAACTAGCATGTCCACTCATTTTACCACTTTTCACGTAGAACTTTTACTTATCGGTAATTTTTTAAAACTTTGAGAAAGAATTCGTGAATATTAAAAAAAAGTGAGCCCCAAAAGTTTTTAAAATTATTTTGAGTGGATATTGAACCAGGAAACGTAAATAATGATAATTTTTATTTTTCAAATATAAACATCAATTCAATTAATGAATTTTTCTATTATATTCAAAGATAACCGTCAAACTTTAGTAAAAAATAAATAAAATAAACAAAATTCATATATATAATATTTAATATTATAATATATATTAATCAAAAAAAAAAAAAAAAAGATTTTTATTTGAACTCAAATTAAAAATAATAATAATAATTTAAAAAATAGCCTCAAGTTTATTTTTTAAGTGTATCTGGTAGTGTGGTATATCTGGCAGATTTGGTATATCTGGCAGAATTATTAGCACGGTCACACTGTCTGAAAGTTCAAAACAAAGACGGCGTATTTTCTTAAATATCACGTCGATAAGAAAAATTCTTGCTTATTAATTCTCACAAAAGCTGCGCAATAGCACCATGTCAACGGCCGAGGAAACAACTGCGGCTTCGGCGGAATCCGTGGAGGATGTGGAATTTGTGGACATGGCGTTCACCAAAGAGTTGCGTAAAGCCACAAAGGATGTGCATAATCTCACAGATGCGGTTGTAAATGCAAAGTTTGCCTTTGGTGAGTAGATAAATGCCATTTTAAGTGAAGTTACTAAATGACCCTCCCTTCCGCTAAGCTCTTTCGGATGACGAGGTGTGGTACGATGGCCTGCTGGCCTTCTACGAGTTGTACAAGTTCTTCGAGACCCATTTGCCGGAGCGCCTGCTGCCAAAGGAGTTCTACAGGACAGAGGCTTTCGAGCGCGATTTCGCTTATTTCTACGGTGCCAAGTGGAAGGAAACCTACGAGATTCGTCCAGCAGTCCAAAAGTATCTGGAACATCTGGAGAAGGTGGCTGCCCAGAATGAACTGCTTCTGTTCGCCTACGCCTACCAGATGTACATGGCCCTGATGTCCGGCGGCCAGATGCTTCAGAAGAAGCGCATGATTGCTAGGAAACTATGGATCTTCTCCAAAGGCGACGACCAGGAGCTGCAGAGGCAGGCCGAAAAGGAGGCTGAACTGGCCACTGCTAGGGCGGCAGACGCTGCCTTGGATCAGGAGGATTTACAGGCTAGACCGATGCCCGCCCAGGTCACAATCTGTCCCCGTGGCTGCGAGGCCACATATTTTCCCGAAAAGGTGAGTTCCTGACACATTATTACAACTCGAATTTAAGTATCGTTTCCCTTTGCCAGATTCCTGTTCTCAAGGCCAAGCTTAGACGCGTTTTCAACGACCATTATGGAGCCTTTGATGACGAATTGCGTGCCGCCTTCATTGAGGAAAGTCGCAATGTATTTCGCTTCAACATCGAGGTCGTGCGCACCATTAAGGGCGTTAATCGAGCCAATCTCAGGAAGCTGGCCTTGGCCGCTATCTTTGTAACTAGTATTGTTTTGGCCATCAAATTAGCCATTAAGTAAGGCAATCAGGGGGAATGCACTGTTAGCTCCTCCCAGTAGGTTAGACTCGCATAATTAGTCTGTTAAAATAGTAAATATTCCCCATATTGTGATCTTAAAGCAAGTTTTTCTTTTATTCGGTTGTCTCCTCGCCATAGCCATCGAGTAGGCCACGTTTGTTTAACCAAGGCATAATGCGCTCTACATTGGCCCTGTAGCGTTCGTTGTTGTACAGCGCAGCTCGGATGGCTGCTCCCTCTGCATCGTCCTTTAAAAAGGCATCGGTCGAGAAGTTGTCTTCTGGTTTGTTCAGACAAGCTGTCAGGGTGGTTAGCACGGTTCCAGCAGCTGAAAGTTGGAGTTTAAATAAATAAAAGTATAATATAATCCCTGACAATAACCCACCATAGATGGGATGCTCTAGCAGAATGATGTGCAATTCCTTGAGCGAAGGTACAAAGCCACTGTACTTCAACAGCTTGGCATGGGCCTCCAGGTTCTCGTGATACCAACGGATTAGATAGTCAAACTGATCGATTTTGATATCCAGGTGAGTGGAGCTCATGATGAAGTAGTAGAGATCCTGAGCGGGATTTCCGTATTTTGTGACCTGGTGATCCAGCAGGAAGGTCTCCTTGACGCGTCCCTCGGCGTCGTGTTGGAACATAATATTGTTGATCCAGGCATCGCCATGGTTGAGCACATTGAACTCTGTCTCGTCAATTTTGGCATCTTCTATGATTTTATCCACATGGGCTTCCATGAAAGGTGGCTGTGAAAAGAGTAAATATTATTAAGAAATCAACCTAAATCCTCGCAGATATATTACCAATTTATGCAGGTACTCATCGACTCCGTCAAACTTGGCCAATTCAGCCAAAAATGCGTTCCTTTTCTTAACAAACATACTCTTGAACACAACCGCCGTCTTCTCCGAGAAGATGCCATTATCGTATTTCGGTGGATAAGGTCCATTCAGTTCCTTGTACTTCAGGGAGGCGGCATGCCACTGGGCCAGCTTTTTCAGGGTGCACTTGCTGTGCTCCATGTCCATGCCCTTCATGCGATCAGCCATCTTAAAACCGCTAGTCTGCAGGTTGTCCATTAACAGATATTCTGCGCTGACCTCTTTGCTGAATCGGAAGGACTTGGCACTGAATGTGACCGGAGAGCCTGCGTCCTTGTAGACCTGTTCAAAGGCGGGCACATATTTGCCGTACATCTCGATCTCCTTGGGGAACAGGTTAAAGTCGGAGAAGTTGATAGTTTCGTTGGATGTTTGCACCTTCAGGATGTAGGAGAAGGTCTTGACGCTGCCATCTGTTGAAAGGTAAATTGTTAGGTAAGATATAAATAAGGAATTGAGTATTTTTCTCACTCTTTAATTGCGCTTCTATGTCGACCTTTAGAAGACTGGAGGCGTAGTTTGTAACGCTTGGTTACGAGGTTCGGTGGCGCCGCCTAGGTGTCAGAGGCAAATTTGCGGATAAGGGCGTACGGTACAGTGCCATCTGTCGGCAAATCCGAGAAGGTCTTGGGATGGAAGTGAAATGGTTAAGAGAAATTAGCTGGGTCAATCTCTCGTCTTTCACCCGAAGGGGTGCATCTTCGGGAGGCGATCGGAGGTTCCCGCTGTCGTGAGGGCGCGACGGGCGGCCAAAATTGATTCTGGCGGTGTCATTAATCAGATCGGCCGCAGCTCTGCAGATCGAGCTTTAAGTTTCATTTTTGTTGGTGAAGAGAATATTTTTATTTTTGTGAATTTATATTGGAACCCTATTGGAGTTGGAATCGACTCACGGAATCTCGGAAGCGGTCAATTTCCTCGGCGGCAATATTGGTCAGCGGGAAGCGCCAAGGCGAGGGCGCAGCGGGGGAAGCAGACAGAGAGAAGACCGCCAATAGCGGTTCCATCCAAGCGCGGGAGAAGAGCGTCAGCAAAGCGGAGGAGCGGACAGTTTCACCCCCCCTCCTTGCCACCGAAGCGCCGCTGATCTAAGCAAAGCGGAGGAGCGGACAGTTTCACCCCCCTCCTTGCCACCGAAGCGCCGCTGATCTAAGCAAGGCGGAGGAGCACAGTTCACCGTTGATCTCCGCAAAGCGGAGGAGCCGATAACGTCACCCCCTCTTGCCACCAAAGCATCAGCCAAATTTGGCAAAGGCGGAGCAGCCGCTGCTTTTGTGACTTTTTTCTTTTGAGCCGATGGTTGTTGTTGCGATGCAGTAAGCAGTGAGAGGGAAAGCAGAAGGGAAAATTAGATCCGCGATCAGGCGAACCCATATCGTCGGCGAGATGCTGAAAAAGCTGGCGAATTTGCAGAATTAATTTAATTTTATTTTATTTTTTTTTGGCGTACTTATAGGTTGTTTGTGTAAGTTTTAGTGGAGGGCCAAGAGGGAAAAGATAGGCGGTGACATAGGGAGAGTGTTGAGATTAAATAAAAAAAAAAAAAAAAAAAAAGAATATGCAGGGTGAGATTTTCGGCAGGGTTTAAATAATATTCGTTCCACACAGCCTCCCCATCACATCTACGCGGGAAAGCGCTTTCTTCGCTGGAGTTACAAAAAAAGGGTGAGTGAAATACAGGTGTGTTTTCAAATCAACCAAAACCTGACCGAGAGTTGAAGGTCCCATTTTTTTTTAAAGAAAATAATGAAAGCGTAACCTATACAAAAAAAGAAAATAAAATAACTAATGCACAACTTAGCTCCTCTGTATGTCCCTGGGTCTCATCTATTTTCTTCTCTGCCAGAGAAAATTTGGCGAACACCCGATGCCAGTTTAATGTTATGATCGCTGAAGATTTTTAATTAATTTAATTTTGTCGATTTTAAGCCCAGAAACTAATGCAGGCAAATAAGGAAAATATATTCTTTTAGGTACTTTTTTTTATTGCTCAAATAATACTATACCGCCTAAGTTTTAAGATTTTTAATTTAAAAGGAAATTTTGCAGCAAATGTCTTTCAAGATCTTAATATTCAAAATTCAATTTAAATGTTTACTTTTAAGGAAATAAATTTTATAATGTTTTAATTTTCTATGTTTTGCCTTCAGCTAGCTGATTCTCCTTGGGGATGCCTTAGGTAGGTTTTGAAGAGGGGCCATCGGACGAGAGCTGGAGAGCGATGGCCAAGGAAGGGAGGGTGAAGCCACTCCAATTCCACCAGGAGTGAGCCAAGATACCGATGAATGTAGTTACCAGTAATTTTTCCCAGTGTATGTGTTAGTGTTTGGTTCCATAAATTTTTCGTCGTAGCACGCATAACGTAAAAAATTATTATTCGAACATGGGGCGAAGCCTAGGAGGGCAAGAATACCACCCATATAGCCGACGAGCCCCAGCCGGGTCAAAACGCGTGCGCCCCTCTAGACTTGAACAACTGCCCACGGTCGTTACATTTATAATTTATTATAATGTTTTTAAATTAAGAATAATAATATTTTCTGGCGCCCAACATGTGAGGCCAAATATTTTCGTTAGAGCTGCATCCAGATGCGGTCTACAAAAGCACATTAATACACATTCAACAACTTCGATTACCTTCCAGTGGCATAAGTACTGGAGTGGGCTTTAGAGACAGATACGTTTGTATGGCTGGCTGCAAGCCACGGTTGCTTCAGTATATGCAGCGAAAGGTAGTCGATCTCATTAGCCAGCTTCAATTATTAATTAGCCGCATAGGAAATACGGTTGATCAAGCTGCCAGCAGCGATCATCCGGCCACGGCTTAGGAGTAGTTAGTAGCAGGCGACTCGATACCCTACAGTTGAGAGGTCGGTAGTTAAGGCTTATGGTCGAATAGGACATACAGGGATTAAAACTATCAGTAGTTTATTTCCTGGCCACGGTCAGCAAGTCTTGGCGAAAATCTTTTAGTATCCAAAAAAATAATCAGGGCACAATTTGTCTATTAGGCGCATGGAAATACAGGTGAATATCTTTTAGAAGAAGTCGTCTGGCCACGGTTGATGGACAAAGCAATATGCCCGGTAGCAATAGGAGAGGGTGCAGAGGAGAAAGACATAATTGACAAAAAACTGATTAGCGTTTGCTTTGTCTTAAGCAGTGCAGAGCTAATTAGCAGATGCATTGTTTTTGTTTTTTTGTCTTCTTTGTTTTTTGTTCTGTTGCACTCGTCTCGCATTTGGCTGGTAAATACATGATAAGGTTTGAACTAGGGAGGAAGCTATGCTTGAAGGCAAATAAATGTTTTTAATTCGTTTTCGTTGGCTGCGTTTGTTTACAAAATTTGTGTTTACAAAATTTTTGGGTATTCTTTATGATTTTATGTTATTATCTCATTTATTATTCATTACATACTATATATTATCGATTTCTTATTATATACTATTCATCATTTATTATATATTTATTTATTTTATCTATTTATTTCATTTATTATTTATATAAATATTTATTTATTGTCGTTTGCTAAGGGTTTGCTAGGATTGGAATTTTGAGAAGTTGTTTAAAGTAGAGACCGATTCGACAGGTAGTTTGCTGAAATGGAGGGAGCTGTAGCTACTCCGATTAACTGCACATTGTGCGGCAAAGAGTTAGGGCAAGAAGGCATTTTCAAAACCAAATGCAAACAGGAATACCACAAATCATGTCTTTCGGCTTACTCAAAGAAGCATGGGAAATGCCCATCTTGCAACACAGCTTGTTTTGAGGTTGTACCTGCTAGTTCGGGATCGCAGGGTCCGAAGCAAACTTCGGTAAGCAAGGCTGGCGCTTCAGCTAAGAATTCTGGAGACGGAAGCGGAAGTGAAGCGGTAGCATCGATTTCTACTGAAGCGGTAGGAGCAATGATCACGGAAGCTGTGAAATCAATGCAGAATGAAATGATGGCACAGTTATCTGGACACATGGCTCAGTTAATTCAGTCGAATGTGGCAGCTCAATTTCAAACTCTCTCGTTAGGGCGAAACACGACTCCAGTTCCATTGGGGCAGGACCAATATTCGTCAGATTTTAATATTCCCCAAGAATTTCAGCCTGAGGAAAGACATACCCCCAGAAGCCAATCATCTGATCTGTCGCATAGACCAGACAAAGTAGTCCAAATTATAAATGGCTGGAAACTACGATTTGATGGCAGCCCAGGAAGCATTCCTGTGGACCATTTTATTTACAGGGTCGAAACCAAGACACACCAGACTTTAGAGGGCAACTTCCCAATATTATGTAGCAATGCCAGCATTTTATTTGATGGTAAAGCGAGGGAGTTCTACTGGAGGTTCCACAAGGCTTCTCGAAACATGCGGTGGGATTTACTTTGTCAGGCTTTGAGGAAGCAGTTCAAAGACACGCGGACAGAGGGTGACATAGAGGAGGCCATAAAGGATCGGAAACAGCGGGACAAAGAAAGTTTCGATTGTTTCTACGAGGCCATTGCTCAGCTGATGGACCACTTGGAAGCCCCTCTGTCGGAAAAGAGATTAGTGGATATCTTGCGGAGAAATCTCAGACCCGAGACTAGATACCAGCTTCTAAATTTCAAGATAGATTCTGTGGCGGAACTTAGAGAAATGTGTAGACGCCGAGAAGAGTATCATGAGGAAAGGAAGCGAAGTTTGGGGTATCAACAGAACGGGCCGGCTCGCAAGCAAGTTGCAGAAATAGTTGAGGATCACCTAGTGGAAGATGCGGAAGAATTTTCCGAGGGCGAATTAGAGGGAGATGAAATAGAGGCGTTGGCTCTAGTTTGTTGGAACTGTCGCAAAGAAGGTCACCGCTACCAGGACTGCGGAGGCAAGCGGAAAATATTCTGCTATGGTTGTGGTGCTCCTAATACTTATAAGCCATCTTGCGGGAAATGCCAACAAAAAAACTCCATGGCGAACACACAGCCTCGTCAGCTGATGCGTGTTCGTCGCCCTCAGTCGAATCGAGACGACAACCAGTAGATATAGGTTCTAAAATACATAATAATATATTTGTCGAATGTAGTCCTATTAGGAGTAAGGTAGTTTCTAGCAAGGCTATAATTAGTTCAAATTCCTTAGTCCATCCGAAAGCTGCCTCAAGAAACTCCGAAAGAATGAGAGCGTTTTGGAAAGCAGCCAAAACTATAAACGCAATTCGATACAAAAAGACCGACAAACGGCCTTATGCGGAGGTGAAAATTCTAGATCGAGACGTTCTTGGATTACTAGATACAGGGGCAGCCATGAGCGTAGTGGGTGGAAATTTAGCTAAAGAAATTATAAGCAAGCGAATTCCATTCAAACGGGGCATGTCTATTGCGCATACTGCGGATGGCGGCCGGCAAGAGGTCATTGGGCGATTAAAAACCCCTGTTATCTACGAGTCAGATGTTAAGGAGTTAGAGTTCTTCATAATACCTTCTCTAAGCCAGGACATGTATTTAGGAATCGATTTCTGGTCCAAATTTAATCTCCTACCACCAGAAATGCAAGTTGCCGAAATAAATTCCGAATCGCATGATTTGTCTGCAAGCCAGAAGGAGCAGTTGCACAAAGTTGTCGGGGAATTCCCGTCATTTGCTATTTCCGGTTTAGGGAAGACTTCGTTGTTGTCGCATGAAATAGATGTAGGCGATGCTAAGCCCGTAAAGCAGCGGCACTTTCCTGTATCTCCGGCAGTGGAAAAACTCTTATATGCGGAGGTAGATCGAATGTTGAAACTAGGAGTTATCGAGGAATCCGAGAGTGCATGGTCTTCTCCAGTAGTGCTTGTCCAGAAACCAGGCAAAGTAAGGCTTTGCTTAGACAGTCGAAAAGTCAATGCTTTTACAAAGAAGGATGCGTATCCGTTGCCTCAGATAGATGGAATTTTGAGTAGGTTGCCTAGGGCAATGTTTATCTCGAGTTTGGATCTTAAGGATGCATACTGGCAGATACCTTTGGATCCAGAATCTCGGGACAAAACGGCGTTCACGGTTCCAGGCAAGCCGTTATATCAATATAAGGTCATGCCATTTGGGCTCACCAACGCATCGCAAACTATGACTCGACTTATGGACAAAGTGATACCGGCGGATCTGAGAAATGAAGTATTCGTATATTTAGACGATCTTCTAATAGTCTCGGATAGTTTTGATTCGCATCTAAATGTCTTAAGGAAAGTAGCTAAATACATCAAAATGGCGGGTCTGACTTTGAACGTGGAAAAGAGTAAATTCTGCATGCGTTCAGTTAAATATCTAGGTCACATTGTTGGAGAAGGGGTCATACGAACAGATCCGGAAAAGATTTCGGCTATGACCGATTTTCCAATTCCTAATTCTTTGAAAGCTCTTCGGAGATTTCTAGGGATGGTTGGGTGGTACAGGAAGTTTATTAGCAATTTTGCTTCGGTAGCCTCGCCACTCACAGATTTGTTAAAGCCCAGATGCAAGTTTGTAATGACTCCGGAGGGAAGAAAAGCGTTCGAGAATTTGAAAAATATGCTGTGCGCGGCACCAGTATTGCGTAGTCCCGATTTTGGCCAGCCTTTCTACATCCATTGTGATGCCAGTAAAACTGGAGTTGGGGGTGTTTTGGTACAAAAGACTCCAGAAGGTGATGAGTTTCCCATCGCTTTTGTGTCTAAAAAGCTCAACAAGGCCCAGAGAAATTATTCGGTGACGGAGCAAGAGTGCTTGGCGGCAATAGTTTGCATAAACCGCTTTAGAGCCTATGTGGAAGGGCATGAGTTCACTGTGATCACGGATCACGCATCGCTCAAGTGGCTTATGTCCCAAACGGACTTGAATTCCCGATTGGCGCGGTGGGCCTTGAAGCTGCAAGGTTTCAAGTTTAAAATTGAGCATCGTAGTGGGCGACTTAATGTGGTACCAGATGCCCTCTCGAGGGTCAATGAGGAAGATTTGGCGGCTGTAGATACTAGTTCGGGGATCGATTTGGAAGCTGAAGCTTTTAAGTCAGCTGAGTATGCGGCTATGGCGCACCAAGTTGAATCCAACAAAGACAGTCTGCCGGATCTTAAGGTTGTGGATGGCCGGCTGTACAAGAGATGCGAGCATGCTACAGGCGAGGTGCTCCATGACAATTATGTGTGGAAACTTTGGATTCCGCGAGAGCTAATACCCGAAGTGTTAGCGGAGGCGCATGAGAGTCCTCTAGCTTCGCATGGGGGCATTCACAAAACGCTAGAGCGCGTAAGGCGTTTTTATTATTGGCCAAGTCTAGTCAAGGATGTGAAAGAACACGTCCTCGCCTGCGATATGTGCAAGGCAACGAAAGCTCCAACTTGCGTGCAAAGACCGCCAATGGGGGCAGCCCCAGAGTCTCAAAGGTTTTTCCAGAGACTGTATGTGGACTTTCTAGGACCTTATCCGCGTTCGAGAAGCGGGCATGTGGGAATATTTATAGTGCTTGATCACTACTCCAAGTTCGTGTTTTTGAAACCAGTGAAAAAGTTAACTGCGGACTTAGTGATCAAGTACCTGCAACAGGAACTTTTCCACACCTTTGGCTTCCCGGAAACCATAGTCTCGGACAATGGATCCCAATTCAAATCAGACCACTTCCAAAAATTCCTTAGCGATTATAAAATTTCGCACACGCTCACTGCTGTGTATTCACCACAGGCAAATGCATCCGAGCGAGTCAATCGCTCAGTGGTGGCCGCAATCCGTTCATATGTGAGGGCGGATCAAAAAAATTGGGATGAGGAACTCAGCAGCATTGCTTGTGCCCTGCGAACGGCTGTCCATGCAAGCCTAGGCACATCGCCATACTATATGGTATTCGGCCAGCAGTATGTGGCATCTGGTGCAAATTACAAGTTGCTAAGGGCTCTCCAACTATTGGAAGACAGATCCATTGGGCTTTCCAAGCCGGATTCTTTAGAGTTGGTGCGAATCAAGGCTCTTGAAGTAATGGGAAAGCAGAGAGAAAAAAATGAAAGAAACTACAATTTGAGATCGAGGGAGGTCTCATATGCTATTGGCCAGGAAGTATTTCGGAGAAATTTCAAACAAAGTAACTTTCAGGCCGGATATAGTTCCAAGTTAGGCCCAGCCTATGTGAAGGCTAGGATCCGCAAGAAGGTCGGCAGCGCCTGTTATGAAGTGGAGGACCTCCAAGGACGCTCAGTCGGGCGTTACCACGCGAAGGACCTTAAGCAGTAGCAGACCCAAGCTTAGTTGGGATCAGACTTGTTCGCTTTACCCCAAGTCTGATCTTTGGCGGGGGGGCATTTTGTAACGCTTGGTTACGAGGTTCGGTGGCGCCGCCTAGGTGTCAGAGGCAAATTTGCGGATAAGGGCGTACGGTACAGTGCCATCTGTCGGCAAATCCGAGAAGGTCTTGGGATGGAAGTGAAATGGTTAAGAGAAATTAGCTGGGTCAATCTCTCGTCTTTCACCCGAAGGGGTGCATCTTCGGGAGGCGATCGGAGGTTCCCGCTGTCGTGAGGGCGCGACGGGCGGCCAAAATTGATTCTGGCGGTGTCATTAATCAGATCGGCCGCAGCTCTGCAGATCGAGCTTTAAGTTTCATTTTTGTTGGTGAAGAGAATATTTTTATTTTTGTGAATTTATATTGGAACCCTATTGGAGTTGGAATCGACTCACGGAATCTCGGAAGCGGTCAATTTCCTCGGCGGCAATATTGGTCAGCGGGAAGCGCCAAGGCGAGGGCGCAGCGGGGGAAGCAGACAGAGAGAAGACCGCCAATAGCGGTTCCATCCAAGCGCGGGAGAAGAGCGTCAGCAAAGCGGAGGAGCGGACAGTTTCACCCCCCCCTCCTTGCCACCGAAGCGCCGCTGATCTAAGCAAAGCGGAGGAGCGGACAGTTTCACCCCCCCTCCTTGCCACCGAAGCGCCGCTGATCTAAGCAAGGCGGAGGAGCACAGTTCACCGTTGATCTCCGCAAAGCGGAGGAGCCGATAACGTCACCCCCTCTTGCCACCAAAGCATCAGCCAAATTTGGCAAAGGCGGAGCAGCCGCTGCTTTTGTGACTTTTTCTTTTTGAGCCGATGGTTGTTGTTGCGATGCAGTAAGCAGTGAGAGGGAAAGCAGAAGGGAAAATTAGATCCGCGATCAGGCGAACCCATATCGTCGGCGAGATGCTGAAAAAGCTGGCGAATTTGCAGAATTAATTTAATTTTATTTTTTTTTTTTTTTGGCGTACTTATAGGTTGTTTGTGTAAGTTTTAGTGGAGGGCCAAGAGGGAAAAGATAGGCGGTGACATAGGGAGAGTGTTGAGATTAAATAATAAAAAAAAAAAAAAAAAAGAATATGCAGGGTGAGATTTTCGGCAGGGTTTAAATAATATTCGTTCCACACAGCCTCCCCATCACATCTACGCGGGAAAGCGCTTTCTTCGCTGGAGTTACAAAAAAAGGGTGAGTGAAATACAGGTGTGTTTTCAAATCAACCAAAACCTGACCGAGAGTTGAAGGTCCCATTTTTTTTTAAAGAAAATAATGAAAGCGTAACCTATACAAAAAAAGAAAATAAAATAACTAATGCACAACTTAGCTCCTCTGTATGTCCCTGGGTCTCATCTATTTTCTTCTCTGCCAGAGAAAATTTGGCGAACACCCGATGCCAGTTTAATGTTATGATCGCTGAAGATTTTTAATTAATTTAATTTTGTCGATTTTAAGCCCAGAAACTAATGCAGGCAAATAAGGAAAATATATTCTTTTAGGTACTTTTTTTTATTGCTCAAATAATACTATACCGCCTAAGTTTTAAGATTTTTAATTTAAAAAGAAATTTTGCAGCAAATGTCTTTCAAGATCTTAATATTCAAAATTCAATTTAAATGTTTACTTTTAAGGAAATAAATTTTATAATGTTTTAATTTTCTATGTTTTGCCTTCAGCTAGCTGATTCTCCTTGGGGATGCCTTAGGTAGGTTTTGAAGAGGGGCCATCGGACGAGAGCTGGAGAGCGATGGCCAAGGAAGGGAGGGTGAAGCCACTCCAATTCCACCAGGAGTGAGCCAAGATACCGATGAATGTAGTTACCAGTAATTTTTCCCAGTGTATGTGTTAGTGTTTGGTTCCATAAATTTTTCGTCGTAGCACGCATAACGTAAAAAATTATTATTCGAACATGGGGCGAAGCCTAGGAGGGCAAGAATACCACCCATATAGCCGACGAGCCCCAGCCGGGTCAAAACGCGTGCGCCCCCCTAGACTTGAACAACTGCCCACGGTCGTTACAAGTTATCCCCCGGTTTTGTGGCTGATTTCCAGGTTCCTTTGACAATCTTCTCAAATTCAGGTTCAGTTTGGGAGATAATGTCTTTGAAGTCGTTGACATTAAGCCAATCCAAGATTTGGTTCTGATTTTCAGGCTGTGCAGGGGACGGCTCCAGTGCAGCCTTGGGAGTAGACTCTGCTGCCATTGCAGGCTCTGAGGCCTTTGGGAGTGGAATTGTAAAATTGCTATAAAAATTAATTGATATTAATTATGCTCAACTCTATTTATAAATTAACTTATTACCTGACTTCCAAGAAGCCCCGATTTTCAATCCAAGGGAGAATCCGGTCAATATAGCGCTGATAACGCTTGTTGGAGTACAAAAGGTTCCTGAAATTTGTGCCGGCTTCGCTCTCGCCCATGAAATTTTCGAATGTGGCCGCCTCGGTGGAGTCCAAAAGCACCACAGGCAGTACGGCGATTGTAGGGAACAGCCCCCAGCCACCATTCTTGATCACGGCAATGTGCAGCTCCCGCAGGGAAGGCTGCCGGCCGGTAAAACCTAAAAGGTTCAGGTGCAGGGTCAGCTGCTCGTGATAGTACCTGATAAAGTAGTCAAAGTACTCCAGCTTGTAGTCGATGTGCACCGAGGTGATGATGAAGTAAATCAGGTCCATTGTTGGCGTTCCATATTTGGGGTTCTGGAAATCAACAAAGACCATGTCTTCCAACTCGCCCTTGGAGCCCACCTTGAAGAGGAGATTGTTCATCCAGCAATCACCGTGATTAAGCACATTGAACTCCGCAGGATCAACTACGCCCACTTGCATGAACGAATTGGATAGGGTCCCAAGTGCTTTTTCCTGCCAAAAAGGTTTGTAAGTTAGCTAGGATAATTGATTAATTTAAGCTGAAACTTACAAGCTTCTCCCGATAGCTTTCGCCGTTCTTAAAGTTCTTTAGATTGGCCAGGAATGCAGTTCGGAAAGATCCAACCATGCCCTCCAGAAACTGCATTATGAGTTCCACATTCGTTCCCATTGAACCCAAGACGAATACATCGGGATAGGGTCCATGCACTTCAATCATCCTTGCGCTGGCTGCGTGGTACTGTGCTAGTTTCTTGATGGCGAACTTGGATTGCTCCAGGTTCAGGCAGTTTAGACGATTAAAGTTCTTGTATCCATCCTGGCCCAGATCGTTCATCAGCACAGTGTTGGCCAGCTTCGGCTCCTTGTCGGCACTAAGTTTGTAGGCCCGAGGAGCGAAGCGAATGTCCAGACCCTTGGCCTTGTAGAGCTCCTCCATTTTGGGCAGATAATCAATGTAGGCCAGGTTCTCGGTGGTAAAGAAGTTGGCCAATTTCAGCATTTGTTGCATTTGTGCAGTATCGTGGGGAATTTTCATCATAAAAGAGACTAGCTTGGTGCTTTTATCTGGCGGGGAGGGAAGAATACAATACTAAAGTCCACCAATATTGCATCATTTATTTGTTTACATAACCCGAAACCAGTTGTGTCGGTCAGTCGCGTTGTCAATAAAAATATAAATACAATTTCAATTGTCATTGTGAAAAGCCAAACAAGCCACAAACGTTTATTGTGTTCTGATTATAAATTAATTGTTGATACCAAACCATTACTTATCGGCAATCAACGTACATATGGTACGTGAGAACCCCACCCACCGACTACGTCATTTCTGTAGCTCTACAAGATTGTGCCTAAGTTTTTCTAAATATAGTTTTAAGAGTTCAAAGACCCCAAGGCTTACTTACCAGTGAGCTCCACATCGATGCTGATCCTGAGCATAAGAGTGGCATAGTTCTCTCCGGGTGCCATCGCGGGCTTCATCCGGAAACCCAGAATCTTGGAGAACTGAGCGACATTCGCGGCGAGTAATTCCTCGAATTGCGTTTCATTTAGCCACTTGGGCAGCAAGTGACTCTGGTCAATCTCTGGCACTGGCACTGGCACATCTGGCTGATTTTCGGGTTCTGAAGCCTTCACTGTCACTTCGTCGTCTTCCCTCTTCCTCTTAGAAAACAAAATACCCATCGTGGAGATTTATTTGAGTGTGAGTATTCAGAAATAAAAGAACTATAGTGTCTTGACTAGCGATTCGCGACCGTTCGATCGGGCAACTGCTGGCGAACTGATACTCGGGACCCCACTGAGCTCCCTAGTTATGCATTTTCTAATCACTGGTTTGCTCGATAAGGCCTAAAGCACCTAGCTCTAAAGAGTTTCGTGTTATTTCATCAGCGTTAAGAATTTTACGCGTTTGTAGTTGCCAGTAAAAATACAAATTTAACTTCATTGATAAGAGTGCTGAGGTTGATTACTATAATCGGTAATGTATGTATAAAGTTTGAAGATTTTTTATTATCTCTTCAGATTTGAAATAGATTAAACAGGCTTAAAGACCTGGAACTCAAACAGGAAGTCTATAAATTATCATCAATATAAAAGAAAATTGGTTGGTGATTTATGAATATTGTATCAATAATACCTATTTTTGATTTCTTATATCGTGCATTTCCCAATTCCAGAAAAGGTATTAGCATGGTCGGGCATAGGCATTCAAGCCGAAATTTGTATATTTATTAAATTCAAGGTATTACAAAAGAAATTTGCAAAGGAACCAAAGGACCCAATAAACTATATGCATATATTCCTGATCAGCTGTAACAGCCATGTTTATTTAGCAATGTCCATTAGAAAATTTTTAATAATGTTTTTGTTTTTATATTGTAACCCCCATAAACAGATTTATTTACATAAAAAATTTCATTACGAAAAAGCGTTCCGAATTAAAATGAATCCTTTTTTATTTTATTTCGAATTTCCAATTTAATCAAATTATCAAACTGCAAACTGTGTTTTTTATATATTTCAATTTTTAAATTAACTTTAATCAATTTAAAATTTTAACAAAGTCGAATATAACATTCACATAATAGTTATAAATAAAAGTAATAGTAATTGCATCCGCTTGTCACAGCAAAGGCACCCACTCGGTAGTCCCAACTGGTTCACATCACAAGGGAGAGCTCCTTCAGGCATCGAGTAGACCTCTTCTGTTCAGCCAGGGCATAATACGTTCAATATGAGCCCTGTAACGCTCATTGCCAAATAGCTTCAATCTGAAGGCTTCGGACTCCTCGTTTTCCGTGAAAAAGGCTTCGGTGTTGAAATCCTTATCGGCCTCCTGTAGACAGACGCAAAGGGTACTGATGACAGTGCCAGCAGCTAAGAAATATTACAAAAATATTAATTTTTAAACAATGTTTTTAAATATTATGTTAATAAAAACTTACCGAAAGCTGGATGCTTTATCAGAATGGCGTGCAATTCGTTTAGCGAGGGAACAACTCCGTTGTACTTCAACAAGTTGGCGTGCTCAGTGAGGTTCTCGTGATACCATCTGATCAGATAGTCAAACTGATCTACTTTAATATTTAACTCCGCCGAGCTCATGATGAAATAGTACAGATCCTGAGCTGGATTGCCATATTTGGCATTCTGATGATCCAGCAGGAAGGTCTCCTTGAGTTGCCCCTCGGCGTCGTATTGGAACATAATGTTGTTTATCCAGGCATCGCCATGGTTAAGCACATTGAACTCTGTCTCGTCAATTTTGGCATCTTCCAGGACTTGGTCCACATGATTATCCAAAATCCAAGACTGTATAGGGAAAGAAATGTGATTGGATTAGCTTCTAGGATGAGATATTTACTTGTATTCATTCCTTACCAGCTTGTCCACATACTCCTCTGCCCCATTAAACTTTCCCAAGACTTCTATATACGATTTCTTGGCGGAGGCAAACATGTTATGGAAAGTGTCTCGGGTTTGCTCTATATAAATACCATCATTGTAAAGTGGGGGATAGGGTCCATTGAGTTCCTTGTACTTAATGGAAGCCGCATGCCATTGGGCCAGTTTCCTTAGAGAGCTCTTCATATGCTCCATGTCCAATCCCTTCATGCGATCGGCCATCTTGAAGCCACTGCTCTGAAGATTCTCCATGAGCAGATACTCTTCCTTGACAGTCTTAGTTAGAACAAAGGACTTGGCACTAAAAGTGACCGTCGAGCCGGCGTCCTTATAGAGCTTTTCAAAGGCTGGTACATATTTGCTGTACATCTCGATCTCCTTGGGGAACATGTTAAAGTCAGTGAAGTTATCAGTGCCGGTATTGGGTGGATGCACTTTCAAAATATAGGAGAACGTCTTGGTACTGCTGTCTGTGGAGATTATCCCGGTTAGTTTGGGTTGTTTTCCAAATTGTTTTTATGTTTGATTACCTTTTAACTGCGCTTGTATATCTATCTTTAAAAGCGAAGAGGCAAAATGTTCTCCGGGTTTCGTAGCTGATTTCCAAGATCCACTTAAAATCTTCTCAAACTGGGGTTCAATGGAGGCAATTATCTCCTTGAAGTCACTCACACACAGCCAGTTCAAGATCTGTTCGGGATTTTTAGGCTGGGAATGCTGTGCGGGTTCCGTGGACAAGGTTTCAACTGGTGGTGGCGGAGTGCTGGAGGATGGAACAAAAAAAACGATTATTTTATTCCCTTTAAAGATTAATTTCCCACTTACTAGGCCTCCATTAAGCCCCGATTATCCAGCCAGGGCAGAATCCTCTCGATATAACCTTGGAAACGCTTGTTGCCATACAGTTGGTTTTTGAACTGGGTGCCAGCGTCGGAGTCACCGAGGAAATTGTCGAAGGTGGCCGACTCACTGGGATCCAGGAGCACCACCGGCAGCACCGTGATCGACGGGAAGAGGGCCCAGCTTCCGTACTTGAACATCAGCATGTGCATATCCCGCAAGGAGGGCTGAGCTCCCTTAAAACCAAGCAGATCCAAGTGCTTGGTCAGCTGCTCGTGGTAGTGTCTGACGAAGAAGTCAAAGTAATCCAGCTTGAAGTCAATGTGCACTGATGTCATGATGAAGTAGAACAGATCCTGCGTGGGAGAACCGTATTTGGGGTTCTGGAAATCAACGAACACCACGTCCTCCACATCGCCCTTTGAGTCGAGCTTGAAGAGCAGATTGTTCATCCAGCAATCGCCGTGATTCAGAACATTGAACTCCGTGGGATCGCTCTTAATTAAATGTTCAAAGTCTGCGGCGACCTGCGAGAAAGCCGTGATCTGAAGGAAAACGATGAAATTGATTAGATTTGCTTTGGCACACCCAAGCCCTGTGCTGTTACCCACCAGTTTCTCGCGGTAGTCTTCTCCATTCTTGAAGTTTTTTAGATTGGCCAAGAAAGCCGTTTGGAAAGAGGTTATCATGGACTCGTAGAAAGCCAATAAAGCTTCCTTGTTACCACCCAGCATTCCGTTGACGAAAACGTCTGGGAACGGTCCATTCACCTCCACGCTTACGGCCGAGGCCGCATGGAACTGGGCCAGTTTCTTCAGAGCAAACTTGGTCTGCTCCAAGTTCAGGCATTCCAGGCGATTCAGGTTCTTGTATCCGTTTTGGCCCAAGTCATTCATAAGCACCGTGTTGGCCAGATTGGGTTCCTTAGTGGCGTCCAACCTGTATGCTTTGGGGGCAAAGGTGATGTCCACACCCTTGGCCTTGTAGAGAGCCTCCAGTTTTGGCAGTATATCCGTGTAGGCCGCATTCTCGGTATTGAAGAAGTTGGCCATGGCCAGCATCTGTTCCATTTGGGGAGTTTTGTGGGGAACCTTCATCATAAAGGCCACCGTTTTGGTGGTTTTGTCTAGATAGGGAGATCGGAACTGGTTAGCGGAAATATTTCGCTTGTTTTTTAAATCTGATTAGCTTGTTATTAACCCATTATTTTTAGACATGCACTTGCTATCAAAATTAAATGACACACATAACAAGCATTTATTGTCTACTGGCTATAAATAAACTAAAGATACTACTTATCGCTGCTAGCCCGCACGTATAAAAGGCTCCTTATATGGGAGAAAGATTGTGCATTCAGGCCACTCTATCTATTGTCTTGACCCTTCCACGGCACTCACCAGTAAGCTCCACATCGATTGTGATCCTCAGCATAAGAGTGGCATAGTTTTCTCCCGGCGCCATTGCGGGTTTCACCCGGAATCCCACTATCTTTGAGAACTTATTGACATTCGTAGTGAGTAATTCCTCAAATTGCGTCTCATTCAGCCATTCTGGGCCTAGGTTGGCCTTCTCAACTGTTGGTGGGTCAGCTTGAGGGATTGGAGTAGTTGGAACTGGGGTAATAGACTCCTCAATCTTGGCACTCTTCTGGTTAGAGGTCTTAAGCGAGGCCTTTCTCTGACTCTGAGAGTCGGCCGCTGCTACCTCGTAGCTCTTCTTTGACTTGGAACCTCGTAGACCCATCGTGCGTATATGTATAGTACGTATGTATCTATATCTTTTTATGGTTGACTAGAACAGCGGTTTACCTACGTCCGTTCAACTGCGGGTACGGCTACGAACTGATGTTTGACTGCCAAAGTTCCCCTCTAGTTATGCCGCTCGTTTCGGTGCTGATAGTTCAATTATTTCATCAGCGTCGACAATTTTGCGCTTCGGAGCTTAGACAAGTGTTTTGAGTGTTTGTCGAGTGTTGTTCGGTTTTCACTCATATTTCCAAACCACTCACAGTCTGTAGTTGATAACAGCGATTCAGACGATAAACTTTTCACTCAAAACAAAGCTCATTGATAAACGTTGTTAGACTGATAACAAAAAAATATTGTGTTTACTAGAAATTATATCAACAGTTTGTACATTTTATTTGGGAACTTCAAAGGCCCCACGACGATGGGCCCAGGGCAGAATCTCCTTCTGATTTCGGATGATGCGAGGGTTCTTGAACAGGTTGTTGCGGAACTTCTCCCCGGATCCCTCGCTATCCATCATGGAGTCCATATTGGCATCATCACTGCCGTCGACCAGGACAATGGGCAGCAGAACAGTGATGATTGGAAGAACTATTTAAGGGAAAGGAGAGATAGGAAGTAAGTATCGAATGATAAGAATAAGACCTAAGCAAATAACTCACTCCAGTCGCCATATGTGAAGATCGATTGGTGCAGGCCCCTCAGCGAAGGTAACTGCTTGGGGTACTTCAGCAGCTTGAGGTTTTCCGTGAGCTTATCGTGGTAATACTTGATGAAGTGGTCAAACTTGGCTATCTTGATGTCCAGCTGCGTCGAGGACAGGATGAAGTACAGCAGATCTTGGGCGGGCGAGCAGAACCGACTCATTTGCAGATCCACAAAGTAGATTTCGCTTATTTTGCCCGTCGATTTGTCATACTGGAACATAAAGTTGTTGCACCAGGCATCTCCGTGATTAAGGACACGAAACTCTCCATCGATTTGGGGAGCGTATTGCTGGAACATATCCTCAGCTTGTCTGCCAAAGGACTCCTAGAGAAATGAACTCATTAGAATTAGCTCTATCTCAAGAAATATATTCCCAATACTCACCACAGACTGGGCCAAGTCGGAGGCCTCGTACAGGGGCAAAGCCTCGACAAAGGCCTTGATTTGATTGTGTCGGAACTCCTTAAAGTCATCCTGCTTGCTGCACAGGTTCCGATTGTACACAGCCGGATAGGCTCCCTTGAGCTGGAATCGCACGGCGGAGGCGGCATGGAAATGCGCCAGCTTCTCCAACACTGCTTCGGCGTGTTGGATATCCAAACCGATATGTCGGTTCACGTTGCGGAATCCCCGCCTGCCCAGGTCTTCCAGCACAATGACCTCCTCTTCTTTCAGAGGCTCCTTGGGCTCGTAATAGTGTGCTCCGAAGGTAATTTTCTTGCCCGCATCCCTGTACATTTGCTCAAACTCGGGGACATACTGTCCGTAGGTAGTACGCTCCTTTTCAAACACTTGCCAGGATATAACATTCTCCCGGTTTCCGTTGTTGGGCAAGACCTTGGCCATGTAGGATGTGCTCTGCTGAGAGCCATCTGCAATAAATTAAAGATTTAATTTCTTCATACTTTTTAGGTGCTATTGGTATCTTACCTTTCAGTTCCAGCTCGAACTTGGCCCTTAACAGAAGCGTTGTGTAGTTCTCCCCATTTCCTCCCGTAGTTTCCAGCCGAAAAGACTTGACAGTCTTCAGATCAGGAAAATCACGCTCTAGATACTCCCGGAACAGCTCCTGGTTAAGCCACGCTGGGAACTGTTCGATGGTGCCTTCTTCTTTGCCCTGAACCATTCCGTCTACCTGTTAGCTTTGCAATCTGCGCCATTTGGAGCGGGAACTGCCTTATATCGGCCCAGACATTAGAAGCTTTCCCTCGTACAAAAGCTCTGCTGCTCAATTTCGTTCGCTGGCTAAAGTCCGCTATCATTGTGGTGGGAACACTTTTGATCTGGGTGGACCTGTTTCCTCACGTGTCAGATCGGCGATCGTCTGTTCGGGACTAGACCCACATTCATGCCTGGGTGGCAAATATTAGTTGCCTAATCAGGTGTTCTAGTCAAGAACTTGTCGCTCGGACCCCGGACAATCCAGTTTCTACGATGAGTTATTGTTTGCTCACTGTTACGGCGTCTATTTTGTTCCTATGACTTGCGAAATGTGAGTTTGTTTATCTCTATAAAAATTCTCTCGAACGAAGCTCTAATAAAAATTCTTCCCCCTGCGCTGGCAAACCATTTAAAGAGTCTCCTGAAGCTTTTTAGTTAATCAAAATGCTTGCTGATTTCATTTGAGGTTCGTTATTGTTCAATAACACAATGGGAAGAACTTTATGAATGCCTACCCACACATGACACTGCGAAATCTTTTAAAAGTTTTGTTTTGACATATATCAATATCTACTTTTAGGCGGTTGCAATCAACTTAATGTCTTTTACATTACCTTAAAAGATGTAATTTCTTCCATTTAAGCGGACTTCAAAAAAGTCTTCCTTTCAAGAAGTCTTCCCTTCAATAAGTATTCCCTTCCTGTCACAGAAACAACAAATCTCTCATGTTCTCTTATTCGTAGCAAACAAATTTATTTGCATTATATCCCTAGTCCTCTTCGAAATAACCACGGTTCTCCAGCCAGGGCAGTAGCTCCCTCACCTGCTCCCCAAACACTGGGTTCCTGAAGAGCTCATCGATGTCCTCATTGGTATCAAAGGCCGAAAGAACTACTGGCAGAACTTCCGTTGCAACCTCGAATCCTGTTTAATATTCAATTAGTAATCATTAAATAAATAAACATACTTCCAAGACCTACCCCAATGACCGTACTTCAGCAGATCACACTGAAGATCCGTAAGACTGGGCTTTCTTCCCCGGAATTTCAACAAGTTTAAATTGGACACCAACTGATCGTGGTAGTACTTGACGTAGCCATCAAATCGTCTTGTTTTCTCAGCCGGAGCTGTTAAGAGTAAGCTGAAAAGATCATAAACCACTGGACCGTATTTAGCAGCATGAAAGTCGCTGAAGAGAGAGTCCTTTACATTCCCAAAGGCATCAACTTGGTTGAGTAAGTTATTTGACCAGCAGGATCCATTGAGGATAACATTGAACGAATTTTTAACATCCAAAACTCCTACATGAGCATTCAAATACTTTTGAAATGATTTCTAAGGGTTATATTTCGCAATTACTAAAAAGTATCATCCATTAGAAGCCAAAGCATAACTTACCACCTTATCTTCGTACTCTCGGGCATCGTTCGATCGGAGACTCTCATGAAATTTCATTTGCAACAAGCTCTTGAGCTCGGCAACCGCACCCACTCGGTTTCCGCTAAGCTTTGGAAGCTCTCTAATCTTGCCAGAATTTCTCTCTATATAGCAAGCTGTGGCGGCATGATAAGCGGCCAGTTTCGATAGCACCGCTTCCATGGCGGTTACATTCAGACCCTTTCGGGTATTGCCTACGGAGTAACCCTTGGCTAGGACATAGTCCAAATAAAGGCAGTTCGACTTTTGCTTTAACTGGTAGCTTATAGGACTAAAGTGGATAACCTTGTCCACATCCTTGTACAGCTGCTCCAGGGCGGGCAGCACGGTCTCGTACATGTAACGCTCTACGGAAAAGTCTCCTTGAATGGGTAACTTCAGGCCACTTGAGACCGATTCCGGGGACTTGAGTAGGTACCTCACAAGGCGCTTCTTGTTGTCTGTCAAATTATAGATTATAATTATCACTTGGGAATATCTCTATAAAGTTTGTTAGTTTTGTATTACCGCCAATTAGCACCTGAAGCTGAACACAGAGAGCTGGGTGTGACAGCTGCACCTCCCACTTGCAGCGAGTGCTCTCTATTTTCCTGAAATCCGGTATCTCTTGCCTGGCCACACGCTCCAATTCCTGCTGATCCAGCCAGGCAGGCACGGAGACCTCTTGGGATAGCTGCGTTACCAGAATTTGACTCGACATTCTCCTCCGTTCCCGATTGCAAACTGAACCCAAGAGCTTCGCTCATACGCTCGTACTTCTGGAATTGATAAGTGCGTATTGATAGGGAATGTAGGTTGTATGATTGAAATTTATGAAGTCAGTAGGCAAACATGATTGTTGCTTTCCAAGTTATCTTAGATAAGTTGGCTGGAACAACCTATTAATTCGCACAAAGTGAGTAAGAAAATTCCCCCTGCTAAATTCAAACAGCTGCTGTGTTAAGACCCATCTATCATGACCTAATATATATTGGGTTTCTGCCCTAATTGAGTCCCAAAAAATGTGTCGAAAAATAGCGAAAAATGCCCGAAATTATAACGAAATTCAATTAATTTGTCATAGCGATTTGACATACAAAGCCGAAAGAGGGAGGCAAGTCATGCAATCTCAGTTGTGGGTTGATCCCAACGATTTTCTATGGGAATCGGTTAATCAGCTGCACGTGGCAGGGCAGAGAAGTGTTAAATCTGAAATAAATCTAAATAAAACATTTAATAAACTGCAAAGGTGCCGGAAGAATCATCACTGGGAGTTAAGATCAGGATAGATCAGGATGCAGAGATAACTATAGATATCTCTTACTGCTGTGCTAATCGCTGACACGTGAGGCCACTTTGTACGAAAAAGGGATGGCATGAGCCACCCCTAGGTCGACTGTGCATATGGAATACGATTTAATGCGGCATGAAGTGTCACAAATTCATCAAAACATATTGTACACCAAACTACCAAAACAAGAGCAGCAACCCTCCCCAGGTAGCCCAATGTCCTTGCAATATCCGTTCCGAATTAATTTCTTCCCCAGGAAATGGAAAGGGGCGCTAATCTGCTGGAAATGGGCGTTGAACGCAAAAATTCCTTGGTATTTAGGCAATCCCTCAAGTGTTACACTTGTTCCTGGGCTGTTGCTCGGTTAGGGGTTGCTACAATTGACTTTGAATTGCCGACCCTCCCCTCGTCGGCGCATCAATTTATTAATAATAATTTCACGCTTTGTTTGCCTTGTCAAATTTTGTATAATAGTTCGTTCTGTTTTTTCGGGGTCCGCTAAGGAAGCCTCCTCTTTGTGCAATGTGACTTCATCGAGGCCACCGACATGTGTTCCCTGCCCTGCCAGCAGCTGCAGGGATTCGCACGCAAATCAGGACATGGTTTGCTTTGGTTGGGCTTGGTTTTTTTTCAGAAACAAGTGCGGGTTGTGCCAGCCAGAATTAACGGGATTATCAGGTGTATGTTGGTGGTACTTTTGACTTTAAAGTCACCACATTGGACAACAATTTTTTATTTACACTAATTTAATTGGATTTGTTGAGATTTATATGGAATAAAGGGCTCTCTTCGAGTTATTTATGAAACATTTTTTTTAAATAAATAAATAAATCGTATATAAACCAATTACTTAACTAAAGATAGTTCATTTGGCGTTGAAATTATAATTTTAGTCAGAAGTTTGTTAAGCAGTGAAGAAGACATTTCCGACCCCATAAATCATATATATTCTTGATCAGCATCAACAAATAAGTCTTTGTAGTCATTTTGGAAAAAAAAAACATTTTTCCGATTATTTACAAAATTTGATAATTGTCAAAAATTTGTGAAAATTTTGATTTCTTAGTATTTTAAAGTCAGTATGCAGATTTGTTTATGTAGAAAAAATCTAGAATAAAAATGCTTTCCGAATTAAATTTTGTACTTTTTTGCTTAGTTATGGTCGCTTTTTATTAGATGCCATGATCCAATGGAAAACTGCAACTGTATATTAATTTTGGCTTTCCAAAGTTGGTTTTCGTTCTTGTTAGAATTAATTTTTTAACCAAAATCTATTCCGGAAAGGTGGGCAAAGTTGAAAATTATGGTATAGTTAACACTTCTAAAAATTTCACAAAAAAGTTTCAGATACAAAATATTTACAAATGGGTTTTATTATTTATGTTCCTTTGTCTCAAACCACTGAATTCACATATTACACTAATAGAACTTTTGCGTGTATAATATTTTATTTATTTTTATAAAACAAACGGTTAAGCTGTTTTAAGCTAACAATCCCCTTAAAGCTCAAATTAGGGCTATATTATAATAATCGATAATAAATACGATCCCTTAAAACCTCTTTATGTCAAACTGTGGTTATATGGCGAGGCAAAGTCTCGTTGATAGGCCGCCGCCGGGTGCAGATGATGCGGATGGATAGGTGGCGGTGCCGCCTGATGGTGTCCATTCATTCCACCGTAGACATCCGAGCGGGACTTGTGGGAGTTTGAGGGCGTGCCACTTAACAGCTCCGCCATGAAGCCTATATAGGTGATGGCCAGCCGTAGGGTTTCGATGCGCGAGAGTCGCTTCTCGTAGGCAAAGGTTGGAACTTTCCGTCGCAGCTTGTCGAAGGCCTCATTTAGGTTGAACATCCGCCGGCGCTCGCGGATATTGGCGGCTCTCCTCTGGGCCATCGAGGCCACCCGACGGCGTGTCTTCTTTGAGGAACTGGAGGAGCCATTGGCCCTGCCATTGGTGGAAGGACGCTGCGGGACCAAAGGAGCTACCTGTGAACGTTGCCACAGGGCTAAAGGTTGAGGAATATATATTACTTGTCTTGGGATATCCTTCAGGCGGTTGCTACTCACACAAATCGGTGCAGGGAAAGCCTGCGATGAGCTCCTGGTAAGGCACTATGGGCGGCGGCGGCGGTGCCTCTTGGCCCCACAGTGGTTGGAAGGGAACGTCTGGCATGTAGGTGGGCTGGTCACCCGGATGCGGATGCTGCATGATGACTGTCTGTCCTATTTGGTAACTAATCGCGTTGCAATTGGAAGACCTTGGGTCCGTTCTGCTTGGAAGACTGAGTTGCAATAAAATCTGATTGTCCTCGCGGCCTGTGAAGTCAGCTCGGTCCGGATGCGAGTTTTGCTTATTGGATTTTCCTCCCCTCTGGATGGCGGCATCTGCTTGGAGGCCATTTTGAATGGGCAACAGTTCGGAGCGTTCTGATTGGTCGTCCTTGGTCGAGGGTTGCTGGAGTGATGTGGCGATGTTCCCAGTTAGTGATTCTGCTTGGAATTTTAAAGCGGTTAAGTGTTATTTAATTTTAATTTGTGTTTAGAGAAAATTGGGAAAAGTTTTTGAGGTAAGCTGTTACTGACTTAAGGTGTTCTTAATATCCCCATTATTCATCAAAAATCTCTGAAGATAGGTGATACTTATTTCTGCCAGTAAAATAGTTCCAATTACTTTGTAATAATAATACGAAAATATAATAAATATCCTACAATTTTTTATGTATTTTTATACCCTTGCAGGGTATTATAATTTCAGTAAGAAGTTTGCAACGCAGTGAAGGAGACGTTTCCGACCGTATAAAGTATATATATTCTTGATCAGCATCAACAGGGGAATCTTTCTAGCTATGTCAGGGAGAAATCGATTTTTTGGCCATTTTTGCAAAATTTTATAGTACATCATAAAAATTTTTGATTTTGATAAAAAATTGAATTTTCAAAATTTTTAAATGAAGTATGCAGATTTATTAACTGTAGAAAATCTTGCACAGAACAGTTTTCCGATTTAAAATTAATGCTCTTTTGGCCGAGTTATGATATTTTTAATTTAAAAAAAAATCAAGAAGTTTTTTAATATAAAAAATCCGATTTTATAAAACAAAATAATATTTTTCTAAGTCAAGGAATCATTTCCGACCCCATAAACCATATATATTCTTGATCAGCATTAACATGCGAATCTTTCTAGACATGTCCGGAAGAAATCGATTTTTTGGCCATTTTTGCGAAATTTGATAAGGGGTTACATCATTAAAATTAGCAAAAATGGCCAAAAATTTTGATTTCTTAAAATTTTAAATTTGGTATGCAGTTTTTTTAAATTAATAAAAAGTAACACAAAACTGCTTTCCAAATCGAAATTAATGCATTTTTGGCTTAGTTATGATATATTTTAATTGTTACCTGCAAGGGTATACAAACTTTGGCTGGCCAAAGTTAGCTTTCTTTCTTGTTTTATTTATTATTTGTTTTATTTATTATTTGTTTTATTTATTTTGAAAATAATACTGATAAAGGATACTTCCTTTTGCAACAGCTTAACATTAATTTCTTTTCCTAAGCTTAGGGTGGTTGTATTGACTGTTGAAAGTGTTCTCACTTATAAGGACACAAACCATTACTAAAACTTCACTTTGTCTATTTGGTGTTCCCATTCATCTAGAACACACACCTTTACAAGAACTGAATCTTACATGAAGTTTTGGAAATATTCGAATATTTCCCTTAAAATCAAGCTTATTTTAAACATTATATAAAAAAATAATAATAAAATCTTCTTATATTTAATTCTCATAAATTTTACATACCTTATTATCAATTACCACGTGCCATGGAAGCTCCTATCTGTTGCATGCCTTTGTTTTTGTTTATAATTGGCTCCTGGAGAGTCCTCTTGCGGATTCAGCTCTCCGGCTGAATAGAAGCATAGTGCTTCTGCGCGGATAAGTTCGCCGGCTGTCTCCGCTCCATGCTTCATGCTCCAAGATGCCGCCGAGATGAAAGGCATTCCCCCAATTGTGGCAACTATTTAGCCGCGTGGCAACAGGACACAGCGTCCGAGGCTTAGAATGGAATGCGCCAACAGACTCTGAGGTAAGCCTTTTGATGGACAGCTGGAGTTGTGATTCCTCGGGTGGATGATGGGACTTTCAAGCGGATTTCATTGCGCTGCCAAATGTCGCAAAACTTTTCCAAATGGGCCTCTGATTGGAAAAGGGGCGACGTCGTCTCTCTAACTTTTTGGTTTGCATTCGAAAGTTCGTTTTTATGGCTCCAAATGAGGTTCTCAGTTTATTTATTTAGTTCGTTTTATGTTCCTCTCCGCCTCGGGAGGAGGAGTAGCACTGCTCAAGGGTGCTCCATTGTGTCAATAGCCTGAAATTGGATATGAAGTGCCTCGGATCCTGTCGAGCGGAGACAGGCGAAAGGAGCTCGCCCAAGTTCAAACCGAACTAGTTGTGAATTGAGAAATTTTTGCATTTCATTCATTTTCGTTTCGCGTCACTTTAAAGGACGAAAAACAAGCAACTCGGTAATCCTTCGATTTGTGAATGCAAAAGGGAATTCAAGACACACGAAGAAATGTCCAAGGCGATTTGTTTGTGTCTGCGTCTGAGTACTTGCCAAGATTTATGCTCTCTGTGAAATGGCAGACTCTGCAGCTTACATTATGAAAATGTAAGAAATGTGAAAATATGAAAATGTGGAAATTTGAATTTGTTCCCTCCTCCATCTCTATGGTTCTCCTTCTCCCTCTCTCTGTGCCACTTCCTAATTTTCCACGCAAATGCATTTTATTTATTACGCAATTTGGGGATTTGTACGCGCAGCCACAACTGTGAGCGACATGAAAGCGCTTAAACTCCGGACTACGGACTCCGGACTCTGGAGCGTTAAACGAGGCATTAGCCCCAGTGGATTACGGCTAATGCTGGCTGCACAATGGCCCCGAGACGACGACGTCGACGAAAGCCACAACAGAGGGCTCAGATTCGGGGGCGTATGCGTAATGTCCCCAGGTACGATTCATAGCAGCTTAGCAACTCAGCAACTTGTGCGATTTAATTGTTGTTTATAAATCGAGGTTTTATCATATCATATTAATATTAAGCTACCTCTGCTTTTGGTAAAAAATGTATTTTAGTTATTTTCTTTGGTTAAAGACCGAGAACCCGGAATGAAAACAATTCGAATGCCCTCGGGCTCGTTTGTAAATTCCGTGAGTGAAAAAATACAATTATGATTTATACATAATTGACTACATTGATTGTTTCAATAATTAATTGATGGAGAGTGGGTTAGGAATGGATAAATATTTAAATACATAATGTATGCAAGTCTGTGTGTTGCGTAATTTTTTAACAGAATTATAAATAAATAATAAGTCGAGCTGATGATGTGTCTTTTCTGTTTCTAGAGGTGATGGTTGACAGGAGCGATCTCCACTTCATCCTTTACAATTTGTGGTGCAGCTTATGCCTCGTTGATTATGGAGTTTACACGGGAATGCCATATCTGTTGAGGGTCGGCTTAGTCGCTTCTCATAGCTCAGAATAACTAAGCTTTATTACTTGACTCTTTGGTTACTTTGCTCCTTGGTTTCTTAGTTCCCCAAGTCCTTGAGTGAGTGATGAAATTTCAGCTCGATAATTGCTCTGTCAGCACTCAAGAGGGTGAGAGGTATTTGCAGTGCAGCAACCCAAAATCGATGGGAAATCAACGTGGCAGCCAACTGAACCGATACTCAATACCAGACCAAACCTGATTCCAGAGACTCTCTCAGGTGCAGGGAACAGGAACGCTGGGTGGAGCCCACTGGATTGGCGCACAAAGGCCAATCGCCCCCCTTCATCTCAAGTCCCCATCGCCAATTTGCCAATAAAGCAGTCGAAGGTGAGGCGAAATGCGCCACAATGCGATACAATTTAGATTTATATGCTTTGTCTGATTTATTTGTATTGGACGTGTGGGCGATGGAGACGTCTGACTGGCTTTTGTGTCTGCGCTGCCGGTGCTTCAAAAGTCGATAATCTGTGGAGTAGCGTCGTCCTCGTCCTCGGAGTTTCTCTCTTTCACTGAAATAGAGTCATGACTGAGATTTGAATGCCGCGTTCAGTGGAGTCTTCAAGTTGGTTGCACCAACCCGAATCCGTATTCGAATCTGAAACAGAACCTCTGCCCCGTGCCGGGGTCTGGTGCCTTTGTTCTGGCTTTAATGAGGATTACGTGAAATTTCATTATGCTGCGTAATAAATAAGTAGCAAGTCAAATAAACAGAGACTAGCAAACACACAGCCGCCCACACACATTCCGCAGCTGTACAGGATCTGTACTTACATTCCTCGGAACTCGCACAACTCGTACAATCCAACTGGCAACTGGCAAGCATATTAAAATTTAGACACGTACACATTTTATGGCTTGTGTGTTTGGGTTTATTCGGGGGTGAGAGGGTGGGTAATATGTCTGTGGCAGTTGCATAACCCCAAAAAAAGGGGCAGTAAAGTTAAATCCCGGCTTCGGCCTTGGTTTCTCCATCCGTAGAATATGATTCGTTCTTTCATTACCTATGAAATGATATCATATCGATGATGTTCTATAAAAATATTGTATTTCAGTTGTATTAAAAAAGAATTTATGTATTGCAAGGGTAAAATATCCATTTAAATATCGACTTAAGTCAATTACCGATATCGATATTTGGTCTTGGTATGAAATTACTATTAACTATTTTCTAAAAAAAGTAAGACTTTTAAAAGGATCCAGTTTCCTTCTTTGGTAGAAAGTGTATCCTAGTTTCATATGGATTTAAAAGTCTCTTTCTTGCTGATACAAGATTATCAATAGATTCCACTTCCATATAAATTATCTCAAGCAAACTTCCTTTATGTGACAGATGACACTTTTCCGGAGTAATTTAGTGTCGTGAGTCGTGAGGCGTGACTGTTTCTGGATTCGATTTCAGCTTAAAGATAGTTAACCCCTTTATTAAACCCATACGCTTGCACACGAATGCGGGTAATCTATCTCAATTAAATGTGGATTACATTTTATGAATATTGATTTTCCCCCGCCGCCGCTCGTGCGTTTCCATTAATTGAACTTGGGGGCGTGGCAGTGGGGAGTTGAAGTGGGTGTAGCAGCGGCACACTCGATACTCGATATCCAATCCACCTTCCGATTCGTGCCAGTTTATTCAGCCAGATTACTGAGCTGCGCTCCGTGTTTACTCTGGCTCCGGCAGACAGCCAATTCATTAGCTGCTTCTCCAAAGGACAACATGAAAGGCATAGCCGTTGCTGCAGCGAGATCTGCAGAGTGTGTGCATTGAGAGATGCTGATGAAGTCACTTCCCTGTGCCAGCCAGTATCAATTCGCTCCTAGTTTCACTCGCTGCTATGCTGGCTGCGCTTTTGTCTTTTCAATTACCGACGAGCTTCAAAGTCAAACTTTTGTGCAATTATCCTGCGAGACAATTTTCGCTGTCTCGATTTTTATGAGCGCACAAAGTTCCCCCATCCATTCGGCAGAACTTTTGCCAGCAACAGTTTCCATTTCGCCGTTTCTCGGGCTGTGTATATATAGTATGTATGTATGTATCTTCCCCCTCAAGACAGTTGATTTTTAATTTCATGTCGGCGGTGGTTGCCTTGGCCAAAATGCCAGCTCCGCTGCTTTTTTTTATTTCTGGCGGAACATCCGACGGGTTAAAGCAAAAGTTGTGGCGCAAAATAAAGCTAAACGAAAGACGCTGACCTAATAAGCGTCCTGCCAACGGACTTGAGTACCCTGAAACCAGCCCCTTGTCCACTTTCCGGGGAAATTGACACCCCAGCGAGAGGGCTGCTAATGAAGCCGGTCTTCCGTCTGTCCCTGGACTCCTTGATAAGGTCAGCGGGCGTGGCTCGTAAAGAGGCGGCCATAAAAGCGAATTGCGGATGAAAATGGCGTGCGAGCTTGGCGACAATCGGCGACGGTTCCGCTTATCAGGTTCCGGGTCCAGGATCCAAGTCCTGGCCCCGGGTTCCCAGTTCCGGGCCAACGACCGGGATATTAATAAACATGTCTTCAGTGTCCACGTTCCGGTGGCCGGGCATTATTCTTGTGTCCGCCAGTTGGTTGGCCATCGAGGGGTTAATGTGGTTGGTCATTAGTGAGGTAATTGGCAGCTAATTGGCTTGATGAGGGCCGGGCAGCTTGATTGGAATCGCAGCGACCCTCTGTGCCCAATAAAACGACTTCTAAGCGATAAAAATTTATTCGGTTTTATTTGTTAATTTTGCTTCAGGCGTATCAGGGATAAAGGTATTAAAGGTAAAAGGTATTACCTTACGAATATTTTTTTTTTGAGAAAAAAATCTTTTTGCTGTCTTCGTAATCTTTCTGGCTCTATCATTTGATCTCAGGTTTCCACCATTACTTCCGTGGCCGTGGAAATGTAATCAAAGTTTTCTGATTAAAGTGAAAATGCGAGAAAATTATGAATCAATTTCCAGTGGATGCAAGCGAAGTGCAAAGTCATCGGAAAACTGCACAAGTGGGCGCTGGACAGGCTCAATATTAGCTGCCAATCACTAAAATTTGCATAGTTCTCCTGTGCGTCCCAACGAGGATTGCAAAATCAGGTCAAATCTCGCATAAAAGTGTATATTTTAAAGTTATTTTGAAATTTTCAATTTATTATACATATGAATGTAATGCCAAAGCTATGTACCATATAACTAATATTCTGTCTTAAAAAGGCTTGAAGTTAATGGAAGAAACTTTACTAATATGAGAATATTTTGGATAATACATATATGATTAAGTTAAATATTATTATCGATTTAAAGTCCAAGATTGAAATAAGAAATATATACAAGTCGGAACCATATTGGCCCAGTGAATTTGGGCAGAATTCTCTCGTAATTTCGCTTTTGTAATAAATTTTTACTCACTGAAGGATCTTATATTATGGTAATCCTTAACACAACTCTGTCCATCAGCAATGATTCGGCGAAATCCCAGCAACCGAGGCAGGCTTCTAGGCCTCCTGTCAGCTCAGAATGAGCTTTCAAACTCAGTTCATTTTACATTTCAAAGTGTCTTGGACGTTTATCAAAGATTTCAGTAGTTTTTATTATTTCAAAAGAATCGGTTCGTGTTTGATCGGTGTTAACGGCTCTACAGACAAGTGGTTTTAATAGATTTTTTACCCACCATGGACGTAACGGCAGCCAGTGTGGTGTACACTAATCATTTTTACGCTTCTCAAAATTACGGCGGCGATCAGCTGCAATCGCAGTCGCCGCAAGCACAACATCAGTCCCAAATTATCCACACCAGCTATGTGGTTAGCTCGGGTCCCGGTCTTGCCCTAGGACTTGGGCACGGGCACAGTGCCACGATGGGATCGGGTTCCGGCCTGAGCCCGCGGACCGTCTACAATGATCTCTATCGCTTTGAAGATGGTAGCGGCGATGCCAGCGGTTCTCTGCTTATCGGACAGCATGAAGATGACTTTTGCGAGGCGAACGAGGAGAGCCAGATCTCCACCAGCAGCTCATCCTCCTGCCAAGCGGAGCCAGACACTGTGGATATTGAGGCAGAGCTGGCGTCGGATCTTTGCCAAATGGTAAACGAAAACAAAGAGGGAACTGGTAACAAAGCTGACAACAATGGTGACGAATCGCATGATGACGATAACGACGGCGTGGGAGAAGGCGAGCATTATCAATCCACCATGGTGGACACAACACCATATATCGTTTATCCACCACCCATGCCGATGTCTTCTCATTCCGCATATTTGACCGTTGGCCAGGAGCTGTACGTCATTCAGCCGGAGACTGTGTTTGTGCTGGGCATGCGCCTCAACGTGACCAAGAACGACATCATGATGTTCTTCGGCAAATTGGGTCTGATCAAGCTAGACGATATTTCTGGCAAGCCAAAGATCTTTGTCTACAAGAACAAGCTAACTGGTCGCTCCAAGGGCGAGGCCACCATCACCTACGTGAGTCCCTACTCGGCCCAGGCGGCGATCAGCTGCCTTGGCGGCAGCAAGTTCATGGGCCAGACGCTCACCGTCCTGCCCGCCTACTTGTGCATGCGCAAGGGCAGCAGCGTCCGCTACAGCTATCCGCGCGACCTGAACCCTACCGAGCTGGACCGCCGCCAGCGGCTTCCCAAGTGGAAGCCGGCCAGCGACAACTGGGTGTGCCTGCTGTGCCGCAACAGCAACTTTGTGTGGCGCTCCAGCTGCAACAGGTGTCAGGCAACCAGGCACGTTGCCGAGGGTCAGGCCCAGGAGGGATCTGGGCCCCAGCCAATGGAGGACACATCGGGCTCATCGTCCTCATCGGGCTCATCAGGCTCATTCGTCTCGCCCAAAACAGAATCGGGATCCCTTAGCGCCCGTGGCAGACGCCCACTCAAGAAGGACTGGCCCTGTGGGTTCTGCTTCAACTTGAACTTTTGGTACCGCCTCAAGTGCAATCGATGCCAGGCCCCGCGGTCCGAGGCGCTGGCCACCTCAGAGTCGGAGGAGCCCTGGGAGCTGGTACTCAATCCGCCCTCCAACGAATAGAGAGGTAGTGCCGTTCTATTATGTGTCTATGTCCTGCTCCTGTCTATCTGTTGCTGTTCGTGTACCCGTATTTGTTGTATGCTTACGCCAGTTCATCTTTACCTATTTCCTGGACCGACGCACCACACTGCGTCCTGTATTTCATCAGACTCGAATCGATTCCTGACATACCGACGAGAGCGTATAGTATAGTTCCTGACATCAGAAGCGGCTATAAGCCTCAAAATTCCCGTTAATCTGCGTCGTAAAATGGCGCTTTAAAGCAATGCGAAATAGTAAATACAATTCCTGGACAAACGGCCACCCAAGAGTCCCAGAGATTGTGGGACAATGCAATGCAGTGACTGGTAATCCACTTAATCCGGCCAACTGAATATTTTGCCTGAGCACAAAAGGCATCCCGTGCCCAGACCCACCTGGCGAGCTCTAAACGTTTAATGAATTTATTTACTTGCCTGACGCCCGCAGCCAGTGGCTCATTGGCTCTATGGAATTGCACTGCAAAAGCGCAATAACTGTTTACAAAAAGTCTAAATTGTTCAATAATATTTTTCTTTTTTTCCCAAAATTGTGGTTGCATTTTTTATTTTTGAAAAACTAAAATTTATTTTAAATTTATGTGGAGAGTAAGTACGTACCTGAGGAAGAAGCTTAAGTTTTTCTCGTGGAACCTGAACAAGATGCAGCTTGCTGGCCGAATTGGTAGGTATTCCTCTGTGTGGAAATAAAAAAAGAAACCTACCTTTTAAAAAATATTTTTTTAATTATATCCACATGTATTTCATGATTTCAACTATAAAAAACCAGAGAGCAAAAAATAACTCTGCTTCCTTTAAGTGTATTTAAGCACAGAAGCTGGCTTCATTTAATTGAATTCCATTTAAATAGATTTTCTGGGTATCTTGTAGAAACTGATTTTCATCGCAGTGTGTTAAAGTCAAGCCACTTGAATCTGTGTCCAGCAAGCCACTGGACGGCTGCTTGCCTGCCCGACTGCCGCCCGCACCCGGGTCTCGTGATTTAATCAAACTTTGCTCCGGCCAAATCTCTGGCACAACAGCTCGGCAAGCTTAGGCGCCAGGTGGGTTGCACTTTTGGCTGTACCCGCAGCTGTGCAGCCCCCCAGACTCCAGACCTCAATCCCCAAACCCTCATCCTGGCGCCTTGTAGACTCTGCTGTGTTGTGCATTTACTTTGCACTTTCTTCCACACGAGCAGAGATGGCAGCTGGATGGACGGATGGATGGAGGGAGTCCATCGTTTGCTCTGTCGCCTGCGGGTTATTTGCGTGGCTGCAGGTGTTGCGTTGCTCCTGCCCAGCCAGCCACCACCAGAGCCAACCCAATTCGCCCACAGTGTCGCCGATCTAAGTGGCAGCCGGGGAGCAACGTAAATGCAATAAACACCATTAGCTGCAACGACTCCGCTGGCTGGTCGTTGTCGGTCTGCTCTGCTCTGCCCTCCCTCGTTTGCCCCAGCTTTTACCGCCTGGTCAGGAAAAGTTCTCCGGCAACGGGGTTAGATGTTGGTTGGGCGAAATGTTGCCGCATCAAAATGCAAACGCGAAAGGCGAAAAGGAACTTAAGTGAATTGAATGGAAAAGTTGAAAACTGCGGGAGCAAGTTGGTGGGTGAGGTGGCACAAACTTTCTGAAACCTGATTTGTTTATAGTTTCCAAGATTGTCTGCTTTTTGTGACCCATTTTGGGGGTTACTTTAACATAATTAGACTGAGTTTTATAGATATTAAAGGATATTATGCTTGAGCTCGACAGAAATGTTTACAAAATAAAGTTAATTCTGGTATAAAAAACATTTGTAAATATCTGTTAGTTTGTAAATTTCAAATTCAGATTAACAAAAGTTTGAATTAATAATTAATTTATATTTCCCCTTGTACTGAAGAACATTATTTGGGTTTGATAGAAAGTAGGCTTTTAAAATAAGTCAAAAAGCCGACACTATTACATTACATCAAAAAAATATATAAACTTCCACTAAAATATTAGTAACTTATAATAAAATTAGATAAATAGCTATAAGTCGATATACCTTTAAAAACAACATGAAGAAAAATAGTAGGACTAAGGCAATCAGTGCCACTGTCTCCCTCATCTCCCACAAGGAAGGAGTCAAAATGACAGAGGACGAGAGGGTGCGCGATGTAGATCGTGACTATGGCATGATGAAAACCCATCAGTCGGGCACACCCTTTCCACGAAGAACCTTGCCCGTCGATTCGGTTGCCCTCACGGCCAAGCTGGAGGCGGAGAAGAAACTAAATAGGGTCTCCATAGGTTCCGCCAACGAGAAGAGGGCAACACCAATGCCGGTAAGGTACGGCAGCGAGCATGATCATCACAGCGAACGGCATAAAGACTTTGCCCAGCGACGCAAACTGTTCGACGAGGGCGAGTTCACCATATGCAAGGGACGCAAGCTGGGCGATGATTTTCATCCCCTGGATTTAGAAGAACACAACCTTCGATTCGAGGCTTTATTCAACAAACTCTCGGAGCGCAAGAGCTACGATACTCGGAATTTCGACGAACTGGCACAATATTGCTTGGCAAACAACCTCAAGATATCCAGTGGAGCAGCCAACAATTAGTGACTATACAATCTTTGTAGTTGTGTGAAACAGGAACTAGGAGCAGAAATAAAATGCAGAAATTGAGATTTCTAGATCACCGTCTCTGCTTTTCAGGTATGACTCAAGGGGGGACAAATGATGTCAGGTCAAAGTCAGCGGTTTCGAATATGAGATACCCAGCTATCAAGCAGGATAAGTAATAAATATATTTTGAGATTTACACAACGATTGAAGTAACTAGAATTTAATAAATATTTCTAGAAAATTGTGAAAGCATCCAGCTAGTTAGTATAGCACAGATATATTCATATATCTACCTTTTGGCTCCATGACTACCCGTTAGAATTAAAGAAACTCCTCTTCGCTTCTGCCGGGACACTTGCAAACATTTCGTTCACCAGAAATCCACTCAACTTCACCCACATCCTGGCAGCAACCTCTTCATCCTCCATCTACATCTTCATCTCCTCGCCACTATGTGGTTCATTGTACTTTACGAGCTTTTCAGCGAGCTGAGCTCGCGACTTCCGCGTGTTTTTCCACTATTCCGACTGCCATTTTGTTGCGTTTTTGCCGCGGTTTTTCCTCCTCCACTCCACGCACCACTCGACGCCGCCAGCCTTTATCCTTTGTCTGTCGACGCACGTGGATCGAACAATGGTGGGGACGACGACGACGACAACGACAGTGTTGAAATGTTTGGCTATAAATTATGGCGGCTCAGATCGACACCGCGGCTCTAAGCGCAGATTGGCGTGGCTGTGACAGTTTTAAGGCTTTTGCTGCACTCTCAGCATATCGCGTATACGCAACGTGTTCGCTTTGGTTCGGTTCAGTTTCGGTTTCTAGCTGTCATATTGCAAACGACACGCCAGGGAACCGGCCCCGACTATCTTTTTTCGGTTTGCGGTCGCATTGGCCCCTGAAAAAGTTGTCCGGACTCCGGACACAAAGTTACGAAACGGACATGGAATCTGTGTGTGTGTGTGTTTTTCGCGTCCTGACAGCTGTTCGTGTTTTTGGCTGTGGTGAAAACTGCAAAGAGCAAACAGCAAATTGGCAAAGGCCGTCACATTAGCGCCATTTTCCACTCTCTGCGGTCATAATTCACTAAAATTAATTGTCGCATTCGAGCTTTGTGCGGCCGCACTGTGAACTTTGGTGGCTATTTTTGTCTGTTCAGAGTGTCCCTCCTCTTGCTGCTGCTGCCACTCCTCCTGCTCCTGCTGCTCTCCTCTATTCAGTGTCCGATTTCAAAAAGTCCCCGGGGTGCTCTAAATATCATTCGGGTGACTTCTGCCCATGGAGCCTTTAAGTGGGAAACGGAAATTGTTAAAGGGCCCGGATGCGGCTGGCGGATTCGAAAGCATTAACTGAATTTGGCCACATTTAAATCAAAGCCTTCCACTTGACGAACTTTGGGGGCTTTGCCAAAAGTATTTTGGCTGTATCCTAAGACCTGGTCTCACGACTCAGCTCCCCGGCGAGTAGCTATCCTAATTTCTGGCAGCTTTGCTTCCCGGTCCCCAAACAAAAAAGGAAAATTATGCAAAACATAATAATAAAATTTAATAAAAAATACCGGAGCACGCGAAAAGCCCGGCCGGTCGGGGAATCCCCTGATTGTCCCAATGTGTAATGGGCTCCGCTAATGCTGCAACATTTTATGCAAATACATTGGAGTGGTCCCTGGCCCAGAGTGGACCAATGGCCTGCGGCAGTCGGCGCAACAAAGGGCTTGGACTCGGGCTCTGGCTCGGTCTTGGGCTCCGTTATCCCCACTCTTTATCAGGTATTTGTTTATGCAGCTGCCAAGTCGAGGCTTATTTTATTACATTTCTTCGGGGGATCCGGGACCAAGTCGTTCCGTTTATACAAATGGCTTTTGGAATAGGCAAATAAGTACTTGGTAAGTAAATTTCGGGCACCACCTGCCTGCTCACCTGCGCAGAGACGGTAGCGGCCCAGAGGAGCCTCAATCGCTTGGCGTTGGCACATAAAAATAAGTCAGGAGACAACGATGTCATTCAAACAAGGGCCAAACAAAAAGTCGTCGGCGAAAAGTTGCAAACTTTGTTTTGTTTTATTCGTTTCGGGTTATAAAACGAATGTTGGAAAAACTTCAGAGCGGTTTCGAATGTCGGCAAATACGCGCGCCTCCAGCCACGCCCTGATTTGGGGCAGGGCTGCCATGTGGGCGGAGCGGACCGATACTGTGGTTATAACGTACGAAAAATGTGTACGAAATTGTAAGACTATTTTAAAGAAAAGTTATATAAAATCTAATTAAAACTAGAGCAGAATAGCTTCCGAAAATTCAATTAATTCAAAAATAAAACAAGTATTAAAACAAGTTATTTAAATTTTAATTTTTATAAATAATTCATGCGGAAAAATCATTTCAAAATTCTAAATATTAGAACAAAACTGTATTCAAAAACAGCTCTTATATTTCATTAATTGATTTAAAGGTTTTCTTTAACTTTTGCACATATGAAAAGTGATTAATCCTTGATTCCCAACTAAGCCTATAAATTATTCGAGAACCTATTAACTTTTAAATATTTAAAAAATTATATACATTTTCTTATTAAACCACCCAAAATCAGGTAGTATAACCCACTGTTCACCCAAAACCGAACTCGTTGCCCCCGGAAACAATAAAAATGCCGCGCTCACAATGCGCCCGGCATAAAAAGTGCTTATTACGCCGTATAGTTGACTACGACTACGGCCTTTGTCGTCGGAAGAAGCAGCAGCAGCAGCGGAATGCCGGCAACAATTGAAATAAATGAATTGGCCAAAAAGGATTGCGGGGCGAAAAACATAAAACGGAATGGCACGAGCGGCATATGGAAAGGGATTTGGGCGATTACAGCTTAAATTTTGAAATTCCATTGGGCCTGAAAGGGAGGCGGTGGCCACTTTACGAGTGACTCGTCAGTGCTTATGCCAGCCGCAAATATTTTAGGAGCCGAGGAGCATTAAATCAAAATTGAAATCAAATCGTCAACGGCAGCAGCTGCAGATTTAAAACGGAAGCTTAAAGGCTTGCAGGCGGCATATGTAAATCCAAAGTTTCCTGTTTCAAAGAAGGGCGTTCTCACACAACTAAGCCAATTTCAGGGCCCCACGCCGACTGACAGAGAGGTTGGAGGATGAGGATGAGGGGGAGGAGCTCACTCTGGCACCTATTTCAAACTCAATTAAACACGGAAAGGCCAGCAGCAGCCGGCATCCTATGGTGTGTGTCATGAAATTCGCCACGGTGGACACAGCTGTTCTTTATGTGGCTCCCACCGAGCGGGTGAGTGTGGGCTTATTGTGGATGCAGTCTGAACGGGTGGATTAAATATTTGAATACAGTTGCCAGTTGCCATCCTCCTCTTTCAGTCCTGGTCTGGCCTGTCGTGTTCTCTCTGGGCGTTTCGTTTTGATATCATTTAAAGGGCTTCGAGTCATGTTCTTGGTTCCGTAACTAAATAAAGAGCTTCGGTCAGTCCCGAAACTTTTAATAACAGTTTTGGCTGAAGTTAAAATGGTGTGACTTGCAGGGGCAACACCAGAAGGATTTCTTTGGGGGTTTCTTAACTTTAAAATTTAAAACAAATTTCAAGGATTTTATGGTATTTTCCAATAAATTCAAACCAATTCAAATCCAAACCTTCCCAGCAGGCCTCTCTTAACGTCAAACTGAAGCCCCTTTAAAATCTGGCCAGCTTCGTCTCTGTTTGTTAGCTTTTTTTGCACAGGTTTCGGATTTATCTCGACTCGCTTCCGTTGGCACAGCATTTAAGTTCACATGACAACATTGGGCATCAGCAGCACAGGCAAAGACAATTCAACGCTGACAAAAGGCACAAACATACTCGCAACTACACACACTACACACACCACACACTCTCTACACACACACACACACACACAGTATGTATTGCCGATTAAAATGTTTGCTGTGTTCCGGTCATTTGCATACATTCCACATCCGAGCATTGGGGCCACGGCAAACAAGCGGACACAGATTCGGACACGTGGACACTTGGACACTTGGACACGTGGACACCTTTTGACCCATCAGGCTTTGCATTTAAATTTGGCAAGTGACCCGCATGGTGACCATGCATAATTAGACCCAGTTCTGGTGTCCTTGTTATGGACCAAATATTTGGCTTGTAAATTGATTTCGCTTCGTTGGTCTGCTGGCATGTCCTAAGTCCTGTGCCAAGATATAGGATATCAGGAAAAGGAAATATAACAAATATTCATCAATGTCTACAGTGGCATTGTCAATGAATTTTGAATCATTTTTGTTTTTATTACACTTGATACTTTTTATTGGAAATATATTTTTTATTTTTAAATAAATTCTTTTAAATATATAATATTTCTTTGAAATATTGTATAAATAAACCTTACTTTGGCTGCACGAACTCATATAAAATACAACCAAATGTGCAACGCCCTATGCATTTTCTTCTTTAATCATGAATATATCTCTTTTATTCCATAACAATCATCAATTCGAGGCTGATTGCCAAATACACCTGCCCAGTGATGTTTTTTATAGCCTGGAAACACACAGAAACATTCAAATGGCCCGAAGTCAACGAACCAGCAATGTGACGTCCAGTCCCCCCCACTGGGTATTCCCACCCCAAACAAGAGAATCCAATTCCCCTACCGTTCCGATTTCCGATCCCAATTGCTGACCAATGTGCTCTGGTGCGGAAAGCTTGCCAATTATTGTGTGCAAAGTCCATAAATAATATGGCTGGCATTGATGCACGGAGCACGGTATCCGTACAGAGCTCCAAATGATGCCACTTGCACTGAGTGGAGCTGGTTACTGGAGCTGGTAGCTGGGCGCTGGAGGATGCTGCCCATTCCAAGAGCTAATCTACATTTATGCCGCCTTGCTCCTCTTTGGCTGACTTCTGCTGACTCGTGGCTGGTGGCTGGTGGCTGATGGCTCTGTTTGTCCCCGGCACACATTTCGAGTGTTTTGTTTATGTGGAGCACACATTTCCAGCTCAAGACATGGAGCCGTCGTTTGCATAATAATTTAACTCATTACCCACGCCCACTACCAGTCCTAGTTCTGCTGCTGCTACTCCTCCTCCTCAGCCTCCTTGTACGGAGCCCAAACTAAATAAGCATAAGTAAGACACATTCATTTGCCAGACGACGACGACGAGTTCTCCTGCTCGGTTAGCAAAAGGATTTACGGCACCCTGGAGCACTAACGAGGTAATTTCGAGGCTCTGCGAGGTCAAGATGTGACGACGACACTTGCCACCAGCACCCACACCACCCAAACTCACACAGGCACACACGCTGTGTGATGAATGCATCACTCTGTTTACAGCGCTCATTACGCATACGACACGTGCGCCCGCCTCCTAAATGCTTTGGCATTTAAACTGTTTTAGTTTGCGCTGCAAGCGCTTTACCATCTTGTCAACATAATTGATTTGGCTTGTCAAGGGAACCGGAATCGATATCAATTCCCCCTGGGGCCAACTTTTACTTTAAATTTGCATGTTCGTTAGCCCGAAGTTCGTAGTAGCAGGCACGAGGTAACGAGGAACATAAAGTGTTGCAGGTGAAAGTTTCGTGGCCTCCGTTGCGGTTTCTGTTCGCCGCCCAAGTTTCAGGTTGCCGCATTGCATTGTCCAACTTTTTATTGCCCTCGCGGTGCTCTGCTTTTGCCACTGAAGCCACAAAAAAAGAAGGGAAAACCAATCTATGCTGAGGCTAAATTACCTTTTCAGTTTCTTGGTAGTTTTTAATATGCTTTAAGTGAACTTTAATCTTCGATTACTTAGTCTTCAACTATATTTCAGGGATTTTCTAATGTACTCAAGTCTTTAGGTGTAAAAACCAAACTTCCCCAACTTGGTTTTGATTCAAAAAGTGAATATATATAACTGCCCACCCATGTTGATCCTAGGCTTAATCGCTCATTTAATAAATAGCTCAGCACACAATGCATAGTCTAGCAGGAGGTCGTTAATCGGGGCACTCTCGGAGTTATTCCCTCTGACTTCTGCCATTTTTATGCGTTTCCTCTTTCCTCGGGAGAAGTGTAAGCCTCCTCCTGGTACTTTTCGTGCTCATTCTCGCTGCACTCTAATCTCTATCGCTCGTTGCTTGCCTCGTTTTCCTGTCCAGGTCAGTGTCGCCACCCAGCGGGATCCGCATCCCGGAGAGCAGTTTCGTCTGCTGCCCTGGGGAAAAAAGCGTAGTTGTGCTCCGGCTCATCCCGCATTTTCCACCGCTTTGCCTGCACCGGGGCTGCCGATGCAACAGCAATTCACTTAAGTTACTCAAGTCGTTGAGGGCATAACTTCCGCTTCGCATTCCGGCAGACGACGACGTGGAAGAAGACCCAATCATCCCGGCACCGCCACTCCGCTTACTGTCTTAATGCCGATGCTCACACACATTTCATGCGAGTCCTTATACGCATTTTGCCATCCTTTTGCCCCTAGTTCATGCACTCCTGCATTTAACCCACTCTGCCGAGTGCTTAAACTAGTTGGATTACGTTGGGCTATAAGGCGATTGTGTAGTAAGTGGAAGTCGTATGAATGGAGTAAATATTTACAGTGCCTCGGGGAGTACGATTCCCTAGCTATTTGCTTTTGCTTTTGAGTCTTTAAACATTGTACATTTATCTTAATACATATAATGGGGTCTAAGCTCTTTATGATATTGATTTTATTAGTTGTTTGCAATCACTAAAGGGAAATCCTACAAAGTGAAGGTTTAATACAAACTGTGAACTCTAAATAAGGATAAGTAACAAACCTAAAAGAAGTTTAAGAAAGCTTTAATAAAAATATAAAGCTTCAAAAACAGCTTGTTCCAGTTAATAATTTGTATTTTATTCTTCTTGTTGCTTAGACTTTCATGCCTAAAATAGTTTTGGCTCATTGAAATTAATTTGTAAATATCTTTTATTTAAAGTCAATCATTTTTTTCAGTGCCAACTTTTATTCTTAGAATAATTCTTGATGATGCACTTGGATGCCGCGGCGCCACTTTCATGGTCGTTAGTGAAAAGGCCTTAACTAGATCAGTGAGTTGCCACCAAAGTACTAATTGAACTGGATTCGGGCTTAAAAGCCTCGTCGTGGTCCAAAACAAACAGTGGGAAAGCGCAAGCCAATGCCGGCGCCCCGAAGAAAGTGATTGCGTTCAGGTGTGAAAATCCGAGATGCTGGCTGCTCTCAGTTCTCAGGTAATTCTCGAACTGAACGGAAGCATAATGAGGCTGCAAATTGTGATCGCTTATCTGGTATTAGGATTGTTCCTCACTGAGCTGCAGTTGTGTTTCGGAGGAAGCCACCTGAAGCGCTTAAGCAGATCACTGATATTTCCCCCAACGAGTCCCACGCGTGTTCAGTTTATCGGCGGCATTGGTATTCCCGTGGAAAACCTGCACTTTGAATCGGTGACCTCGGGCTATGTGCTCAAGGCGGAGTACTTTTTGCCCACCAACTCCACGGAGATAACGAGAGTGTATCTGAAGCCGCAGGACATAACGGGACGGGAGGAGGACAGCTCCTCCAACTACGGAGCGCTCTACCGCTGGATTATTTATCGTGGCATTGAGATGGTCATCGAGAACATGGGCCTGCCGGGCAGGAGCTGTCTCCTGCGGCTGATTTGTGAGCACGCGGCGTTGCCGATGGACCACGAGAGCGGGCTGCTGGGCGAGGTCCTGGACATAGTCCTTACCCCATCCAGTTCAGTGGACCAGCTGGGACACAGCTCGGATCGCGAGTACCACAAATCGGAGCACTATGGCCGGCGGGGCGGAGACTGTCGGGCGGCCTATGCCAGCCGGTGCCAGAAGTCGCCCATGGAGCTCATCAGCCTGCTGCTGGAAGTCAATGAATAAAGAGGTTAGCCGTGACACAAAAGAATTTCGTTTCAATTGCTGGTGGCCCCTTCCGGTTGTTCACAATCACGTATTCGCACATCCGGGGTGCGACAATTACAAAGTTGATAAACATTTTAATTAGTTTTGCGTAGGGAACTGCGTGATCTGCCTGGCAATCAGCATTAATTGTAATTAAGGGCACACGCCTGTCTGACGGGCGTATGCGTAATGTGCGAAATCAACAAGCAAACACACGGGACACAGGATCACTGGCGTACTTAACTCGCTTAAATTTAAATGGCAAACACAATTTGCGTGAATTATGTGACGCCTACATGCGAATCCCTTGGAATTTACTGCTTTCTCATTAAGTAATCCAGGACACGTATGTAAAGGACACAAACACACACACACACTGCTAATGGGCTTAGTAAATTCGGACAGTTCGAAATAGAAGCCAGGAGCAGGCCTGGACAGCCGTGAAAATAATTACACACATTCAATGAAACGCGACCGGAATCGGAGAGGAGGAGGAAGAGTGGAGCCTCCTGCTCGGCGTTTGCTTCTGGCATTTCAATGCCAGAATGTGGAAATGAGTTTAATATTAATTAACAGCACGTCAACGCGTGTGGCCAGTGGGAAATCCCACCCGGAATCCCTCACCCGGAACCCTCTCCGTTTGGTCATTAGTTGAACGGTTTTGGTGTTTGTTTTAAAACTCTTGGCCGCAGGGCCTTCCCTCTCTGGCGCTGGGCAAAAGAGCCACAGGCGAGGCCAAGCCATAAACACAACAATATGAAAATGAAATTCTTTCGGGTCAGTTGGGTCCATTTGTCTTCAATTTCATTTGCCCCCAAGGCAATTTTGGGACCCATATGTGTGTGTGTGTGGCGTAAGGGGTGAGCCGTCGTAAATTATTTAGCAAATGCAAATGCAATTTTACAGAGGGTTCCTCACAAAAGGATAAATTGTTGCTTACCTTGTATCAAAACATAAACAAACTTTTTTATTCCATTGTAAAGAGAAAGTGCGTGAGAAAGAAAAAAGGAACCCCAAGCTTCTCCAGCTATTTATTAATATTTCTCTTGGAATAACAGCCCCACAGGCTATATTCACACATTGTACGACTTCTACACGTTTGGTATTCATTCGAGAAATTGTCCGCCCATAAAGTTCTCAGCTATTTGCCGACATTGCTGACATATGAGGCGTTTCCTGTCGCTTTCAGAACTCCCCTCCGGGCCCGTCAGCCCTCCGCTTGAATATGCTAACTGCAATCCTTTCGCACTAAACATAATTTAAAGGCGAACTCCTGTCGAAGGTCCTGCAGTTTTGTAGTGCGCAATTTATGGGCAAATGTGGAGATAAACTTGCTGTCATTTATCAACGAGCCCTTGCCGGATTGCGGACCGGATCCGGGTCCCAGGTCCGGGTGCGAGTCCGGCCACTGTCGAGTGTGCCGCGCCGGAGTGAGTGTGCCTTTTGAAAACATTTTGACTTGAAATGATTACGCCAAAAACTCAACAGATAAAACCCGGAGCACGGAAGCGGCCATAAATCAGTAAGTAAATGTGACTTCCTCGGCCTCTCCTTTTGCCAATGATGAGCCCGGAATGGGTGTCAGTCCCGGGGTCCTGCGGACTGGAATCGAGTGGCGAATGAACGAAGGTAGACCGGCCAAATTGCAGTGAACAGGACTACAGGCGGACAGAGCACAACTCCGCCGTAGATTGGCAACATTTGATGGCAAAAGTTACGTTCGCATTTATCTTTCGAGCAAGTGTCACTTGTGAGTTTCTTGAACCGCAGCCAAGTCCGGAGAACCATGTCCGGTCGGGGCAGGCGGGACAGGAGCAGGAGGAACAGCAGCAGCAGCAGCAGGACATCCTGCTGAGCAACAGGAGCCCTGTTGGCTTGGCCTTTAAAAGGGGTTTCCGCTTGGCACTGATAAATGTCCTCTTGATGGCCACTGAACACATTTCCCCAGAGTTCAATAAGCAGTTGTTAAGATGGCTGTTGTTTAATTCTTGCAAAATAGGATGTAATCTTAAGAACTATATATTAGGATGTGTTTAAGTTGACAAATAATTAAATAAAGTTAAGATCAGGCTTCGGATATACAGACGTTTTGATCATCAACTACTAAACACAGGGAAAGGGAAAAATAAAATATTTTTCTCTGTAATTTCCAAACAACTTTAACTTAGATTTCTTTAAGAAAAAGTTTGTACATGCAAAATATTTAATTTTCCAATTTTCCTAATCCTTAAACTCCCCAACTCTTTTTTTTTCAATATCCTGACATCCTTCAATTTGATTTCTTTACGATTTCTAAACCGAAACTCAACTTGCCTCTCTGACAAATCATGAACTTTTCCTGTTGGTAATTCTGTTTCACCGATGTTGTGCAAAATTCTACGTCTCCATAACTTTGACAAATTAGCTTTGTTGGCCACTGTTTGCTGTTGTTGCTATGGTTATCGTGAATCATTTCATTTCAGCTTGCCTCGCATCATTTTGATTTATGTGGCGTTAAGTAATTATAATTTATGCTTTATGCTCAGCTCAGTGGCTTGTATTCGTAGTATTTGCCAGCTTTGCCAGCTTTCCCAGCAAGCTAATGACTTGGAGTTCGTTGGCAGATAGATATTGCAATTTGCATATGCACAGAGTCGTCGCTGATTAGCATAATAAAGTGAGCGGCATCCGTTGGCCGAGGAGGATTGTCAGTCAGGAGCAACACGTCGTATGCGCAATATTAATTATTCAGAGCGAGGCAAAGGCGTCTGGAATACTGAGAAGAAGCCGTAGAGAGAACACTAGAGAAAGGCAAAACAATGCGACACTTGTCGTCCTCGTCTCCTCGTCCTCTTTTTCTTGGTATTCCCAGCTTTGAATTTAAACGGGAATCCTGGGAAAAAACATGCCCAGGCAATAAACGAGCAATTTTTCTCCAAATTACAAAAATGTGAGCAAACATTTTATTTGCGCTTGAAAGGTCCCCTGTATATATATAAATATATACATATATATATATATACTGTCTGACATAAATCTTTGCCAATTTCCAAGAGCCAGCAGAAGCCACTCTTTCTTTTATATCTTTTTTTGCCTTTTAGTTTATTTCGTTCATTTCATTCTCTTTGGGGGGACTCTCCTTTTTTCCTTATTTTTTTCTTATTCGCTGCAATGACAAGAATTTGAATAATTCGCCAAATGTGCCAAGTTGAAATGTTAAAATTCCCAACGACGCGTCGACGGAAGTTGGCAAGCGGCCGGGAACTTCCGGTTTGGCGGGAACTGGAGTCACGACCCGCCAAATGATTGCAAATGAATGGGGAATGGATCTGGATGGCGAATGAAGCAACGAACGACGCCCCCGAGGATGTGCGCGGCGTCGGCAGGATGCGACGCCTTAAAAACTTCGCGCTTAATGCATCATTAAATTTATAGCCCCCGAAATAATTTAGCGCAATTTCGCTAATGTGTCACACCATAAAACAAATCACAAATGTTGGTTTTGCCACCCAAAACTTTGCCGACCCTTGTTATCGTTCTCGTTCCGCCTTGCTGTCGCTTGTCTCTTCCTCGAAATATTTCTTTTGACACCCTGACAATGGATTTCATAATTAAAATCAGAAGTTTGTGGCGCAAACTTTGTATAAAAGTTATGGGAGTTACGTTCGCGGAATTTAAGAAAGTCTGGTGGAAAATAAAAGAATGTTTTGTAGGAATTTTTAGAGACATTTTTAACATTGGATTATATAACTTTTAATTTAACTTAAATCGTGATTATTATTACAGCTAAAAATTTCCCAAAATAGAAAATTGGTTATGCATTTAAATAATACCGTCAGAAACATTCCACAAAGTCCAGTTTAATTACCGATTTAAATCCTAGAGAACCTACATGTTTTATATTACCTCATAATTCTTCCTCGTCTTTCATCATTTCCATCGGGGGAAACCCATATCCTTGATGGCGTGCTTTCATGTTTTTCCGACTTCCACGTCTCTCTCAATGGCATGCGACAGCGCCAGCAAGTGCAGCCTGCAGGTCCTTCGAGTGACTCCTGTTTTTCCCGCAGCTGCTTTTGCTGCTGGTGCTCCTGCTGCTGCTGTTTTTCTGCCGCCGTTGTCAAGCTCGCCATTCTCGGTGTGATGGCTAAAGAATTTTTCAATAAACGAGCCGTGCACAAAATATGTATGGAAAGACCGTTCCATTCCGCTGGCCTGTTATTGAGGAAATTAATAAAGCCGTCGTGCTGGAAAATGTCGAAGCATCTTGCGCATGGCATACTTCCGGTTGCGAGGCCAAGGAATTTTGCACAACAGAACAGAACCGAACAGAGATGACAATTAATGAGATAAGTGATAAGATATCAGGGGTTATAGTTCAAGGGGTTGCGCCAAAGTGCCCCCAACTAATTTATTTTATTCTCTCCATTAGCAGACTGCCATCCATCATCCATTTTCATGGCCTTGTCGGCCGCGTATAAGCCTGATAAATTCCACGATTTTGGGAGACGTCAACATTGTATCTGTGATGTATATGACACATTGTTTTCAACGCCAGAGATCCGCTCGAAAAAAAATGTCCAAAAAGCAATTAAATAAGCGACTGTTGTACACTGCAGAAAATTAATGGAAAATGAGGAAGAAGGCTCACTTAATTGTTTGGGAAAAACAAATTAAAGCTCACTAATTGTTCGTAAAAATTCAAGTTTAAAAATATCAAAAAAGCGTCAAATTCAAAGAAAATTTTCTTCCGGACAAGGCTAGAAATATTCGCCTATGACTGTTGATCAAGAATATATATTATTTATAGGTTCAAAAATGGCTCCTTCACTGAGCTTACCAACTTCTGCTTAAAATTATAATACCCCGCAAGGGTACAAGGGCATAAAAATACAAAATGTAGCAATAAAGACTGCAAAATAGCAGAAATCTTTAATGTAATAATTTGATTACTTAAAATGTTTCTTTTTATGTATCGATATTTACCTCAAATCATATCA